GGAGAGTGGAGTCATGGGCGTACTCTGGAATTTCTCCGGGGGATCTTAATCTTTCCAGGGCGGCTAAGGGCCCGTTGGGGCCCCAAAACCCCTGAAACACATAGATTTTAATGATTCAGAAGGGGGCTGAGACCCCATAGCCCCCCCCTGAATACTGCTCTTTGGTGGAGTGTAGACCTGAATAATGTAAAAAGTTCAAACCAGAAAATTTTCAAATATTCGATATATGTGTGCAGCCAATGGTTTACAAGAATATTTTCAAATATTCGATATATGTGTGCAGCCAATGGTTTACAAGAATATTTTCAAATATTCGATATATGTGTGCAGCCAATGGTTTACAAGAATATTTTCAAATATTCGATAAATGTGTGCAGCCAATGGTTTACAAGAATATTTTCAAATATTCGATAAATGTGTGCAGCCAATGGTTTACAAGAAAACATTTTCTCAATATCAAGTGGGTTAATATTAGGATAGGATTTCAAGTTCCAAAAATACACGTATAACCAAAGTTCGGTAATAAAAACACAACTTTTATTTTTCAAACCGAATAGATGTTAAAATCTTGTGTGAAAGTAAAGTTTTAATTTTATAAAATCCACGTGGTACGCAAATTAACAGAAATCAATTTCTTTTCTTTCCAAACTAGATATACCAGAATAGTACCACACTAGATATACCAGAATAGTACCACACTAGATATACCAGAATAGTACCACACTAGATATACCAGATACCAGAATAGTACCACACTAGATATACCAGAATAGTACCACACTAGAATACCAGAATAGTACCACACTAGATATACCAGAATAGTGCCACACTAGATATACCAGAATAGTACCACACTAGATATACCAGAATAGTGCCACACTAGATATACCAGAATCCTAATTGACCCTCTCTTTACATAGATAGCATCTAATACTTAGACATGAGGAAAAGTTTAGATTTACGCGAAATTACTGGTAAGACTTTGTGATATCATGCTGCTCTAGTTTTGCCCAAGTATGAAATAAACAAATTTATTTGGTTACATAATACAAAATCAAGACATTCTTACAAGTAGAGTTATAATTGACAACATGTAAAATGCCAATCATAGGAATTGGGTTTTTCTCACAAACTTAAATGTTCTATCCCTATTCCCTATATCTTTGCAACTTGATGATGTAATCATTAGATCATTTTATCTAACAGAATTTAAAGTTTGAAATAGCCAGGGTCTACGACATTGGGTTACAAAGATAAAGAGATTAGAAATTAGAGTTAGAGGCAAAGAATTCCTTTAAATATTTATTTTATTCTCTAATACACCAATACAATGTCAATGACAATACATCTGAAGCTTATTCACTTATCAAAATCTCAACTGAAACAGGAATACAAAAGTATAATACCTGATAGTATACAAGCCAAGCTCAATGATACTGGTTTTTTACTCGGCCGGCTGTGGAAGATTCCACCTGATGGGGCTTTAAGGCTTTCAACTCTCCATTTTGCATAAGCGGGGCAGTTATGGCTTTCCTTATTTCCGCTTATGCTGGTAAGACGTTAACACAAAGGAAAGCAGGCATCTTCTACTGGAATCGCTCATAACTTTCCTCCTCCAAACTTCCTTATCTCTTTCCTACCTGCTGCACAACTTGATGTCACAAGACCTAATTGGAGAGGCCTCAAAACTTAGAAACAAGAAACAAGAAAAAAGAAAATTGAACATGAAAAATGGAAAGATAACTCTCTGATGATAAGCTTTACACTATCAATTTATTCTGTTAGCGAATGGAGACAACATTGGAGATGGGGCTGGGAGATGTCAACCCCCCCCCCGCCTCCATTTCACCCTGATAGAAAATACACCAGTTTGTGTTATTTGTAGCTGAATCAGTTCTAATTTAGTTGCTGACACATATAATGAGTGTAATGTAGAAAAATTAGAACCTTGTTCTAAAGCTTGGCAAGGATGTTTCAAATTTTCATTTTTTCAAAATTAGCTGAAATATGATTGAAAGATGTACACAAACAAGAAGAAAATGAAGAACAAGAAATATGGAAATGTCAAAATATTTACATCTGCTATAACATAACTTTTTAAATAATATTGTTAAAAATTCAAAATCAAAATAAATATGTAAAAAACATAAAATATAGGTCAAACCCTTTAATATTCTATGGTTGGAACTTCTCATAAAAATAAGCAAATAGATTTGGAAACTTTTGAATGGACCAAAGCTTTTCAATTCAAGGGCTGAGCCCACAAGGAATTTTGAAACTCCTCCGAAATTCTTTTGAAACTCTTCCGAAACATTTTGTTTCTCATTAGGATTAGACACAGTCAAATGAATGGTTTAAATTAGCCCTCTTCTTGAGACCAAAAAACGAGAAAGCTGAGTTAGTTAATCCTGTCCTGTTCATAAGATCCCAACTCAGTATAAAACTTTTAATACCTTGGACTGCATAAAACTAAAACTTGTGAACATATGGTAAATATTTAACACTCTTAATTTGTTTCTGTGGTTAAAAATCTTAAGTATTTTGAACATGTCACACAAGTATAATCTTCAAATAAATTAGAGCATACTGAATTCTCAAACTAATTAAAATCACACTTTTTTATTACAACTACATACACTTTATATACATAATCGTTCCAAATCAAAACGACAGAAACCTTAAGGAATAAACTAATTTCACGTTCCAATTTCAAAGTTGTTTTACTAAATCAAGACTAAAACAACACATTTAAGCTTGTAATCAACTCATAAAAAATATTACAAAACTTAACTTCCAATTTCAGCAAACGGATTGTGCACATTGCGCAACCTAATAATTTAAATCCCGATCTATGTGAATTTACTGTTGAATTTTGAAATTAGAATGACGTTAAAAATGAGCGTAAAACTAAAACTCTAAATCAAACCAACACCAATACTGAATATATATCTGGATTGATTTGCCGCAAACGTAATTTGATATAAATGAGATTATCCACCACTGCTCTTCCTGTCAGTTTCCTGTCAAATCCTTTTAGTTTAATTACTCAACCACCTACTCTCCTAGCTGCGTTACATAAAGCAAAACTTATTACGACAAAGACTGCGTCATTAAAGGGACTGTAAACGTAATTTCAAGTGACCATCCATTCAAAGATTCCGATTCACAACGGTACCCTTAAACCTATAATCTGATCAAAAATGTAGAAGATAGTTTTTCTGACTCAAAAGCATTTAATTCCTATAATTTCTCCATTGCTTTTCATAAGCAAGAAATGGGCAAGTCCCTTCGCAGAGAACCAGTAAAAGAAAATAAACAGTTTAAAGAAACAAAGACATTGATATCTAATTCATACTTGTTAAAATTGTTAAAAACGACTTATACCGTAGAACGTAGCGTCCATACAAATTAAGAAAGTTGCAACATTCAACTCAGATCGTAAAAAATCAATTTAATTCCAAGCAAATCATTTAGATGTTAAAACCAATAATCATTGATTATTTTTCGATGCATTCCTATATAGTTGATATTTCATAATATTTTGAAAACATTTATGCCTGTTTCGAGGATTATTGATAATGAAGACGACATTTTCATATTTTCCAAGAATGTTCTAAAATTCAGTGCCAGCGAAATATTATTAAAAAAAATAAAATTTAGATATAAGCACTCATTTTTCGCCGTAAGTCTAAACCCCCCTTTTTTTTGCGAACACTCCTTTTAATCCAACAATTTTTTCATGGGTACCTTCCATTTATTCAGTGTAACGTATGAATAATTAAAAAGACTGACTTTTTAACATGCTTTGTAAAAATTGTTTCAATTGTGGTTTCTCTGTATTAGTGATTTGTACATTTCTGTCGCATATTAACAATTGAGAAAAACGTCCTAAGCTAGGAACTTGAGAATGGTGGATATCGGGATTACTGCTTGATCTCCTCTTTTTCTTAATCTCCAGATTAAATATTGATTGTTTTCCTCATGAATTTAATCCCCAGATTAATTAACAGATCGGGATTAAGGATATCCCATTCTAAAGTTTTCTCATCTAGTAAAACTACATTATCATAAACATATTATCAGAGAAATGTTAATAAGGTACCATTGTGATTCGGATATTTCCCTTGTTTAAATAGGAGATTATTAGAAATTACGACCATCCCTTTATGTTAGAGGTACAACGTTATAAATTATGATGATTCTAGCTGTTTGCCTTTTTACTAAAAAGATTAATTACTACTTTGTCTGATATAAACAGTAAAAACTCTTTGGTTTCATTCCACCACCCGCCCCCCTCCCCTTCTCAATAAATAGGTCATATTTGATACTTAAGTTCCATAAAACTATAGAAAATATGTATATTTACATCTTCTCTCTCCTGTCCATTAGAAAGTAAATCCGGCTGTATCTGGGATATATATTATATATCCATGAATCCGGACAGCAAATATATCCTGCTCCTACATCAAATATTCATTATGGATATTCGAGAATCCAGATCAAGGATACAGGGTGTACTAGAAATCCAGGATACAGGTTATACTAGATATCAAGATTATTAGGATATCAAGGATACAGGATATACTAGATATCTAGAATATTAGCATATAAAGTATACAGGATATACTAGATATCTAGAATATTAGGATATCAAGTATACAGGGTATACTAGATATCTAGAATATTAGGATATCAAGTATACAGGATATACTAGATATCTAGAATATTAGGATATCAAGTATACAGGGTATACTAGATATCTAGAATATTAGGATATCAAGTATACAGGGTAAGACGTTCAAGATATTAAATTACAGTATGAACCAAATATTAAATATATTTGATTGCAACTGATTAAACCAAATAGCTGGAATTTTATATACTTCTGATTGAAAATAAGTAATCTACAAGTTCAGATTAGAAAAATGAAAATAAAAATCTCGACCTTGTTTACTATAATAAACTCTATAGATAATATAAGAAATTGATTAGAAATAAAGTAAATCAATAAATATTTATTAATAAAATTGTGGCTATACAGTCAAAAATCGGTTCATATAAGAGAGATACAAATGCATAGTTTCTAACAAAGAGCACAGTTAGAGCTAGTTCTTGTGTGTCTTATCCACAAGAGCTTACTCTATATGTACTCTATGGTTTCTACATATATAGTTGGTTGGTTGAAGAGGGATAAAGTATTAAAAGCATATTGAGACTAAAATCTGACAAAACAAAACTCTGACAGAAATAAAATTGCAAGGTTATTAAGCAAGGAAGATAAAGATAATGTTTATGAGATCAGAAAGCTAATATTGGTTTGAAGCTCAGGGGGTAGCTTAAGAGAACCATTACAACCATTAAACCACTTGTAACGAAAACCAGCGAAAAACGAAATCACAATTGTTTGGACTCCTTCATCATGTGCCTTTTTAGTTTGTGTTATGTGCATTACAAACAGAACTGGTCTTACACAAATCTGAATTCCTCAACGTAAGGTTGAAGTGCTAGTTTTAACTAAGATAAAATTATCAATATGATTGTTTTATCATGATAAAGGTTAATAATGGGAAGAATAATCACTGGAGTAAAATAGTTGACAATTGATCAATAAAATTAATTAGATACAAAATTAATTCAATTAATATCAACTTTATTATAGCCTTGTAACAACCACTATTCTAATGAATAGAAAACTGGGAAATCTCATAAAAGAATGAATCTAAAACATAAACATGTGTTCATCTCTCACCGAGTTTAGGTAATTTTTATTTCCTCTTCAGGTGTCTGTTCAGTTTGTATGTTTGAACAGAACCTTCATGAGTACAGGTTGCATCGTTGTTGTTTCACGTTGAACACATAGATCAACATTTATACAAGAATTCATTAAATCTCATTAAAATCACTCATACAGGTCTGTAAATAACGAATAGATTAGCACAGATCAGTAACATTTACATAAAAGAGAGGAAACAGCAGAAATATTGATATGGCTGAATTTACTTCATCAGCGCTGCGGCCTGGTCGTTGGCCATCTTCACCCTTGTAATGTCCGACCCGGCCTTGAGATTGATCCTGTCCAGCTGAGTGTTCTGCCGCTCAACCTCCTGACCCATGTCGTTGGCCATGTTTCGTAGGTTTCCAACCATAGCGCTCACCTGCTCCATGTTCTCCTCCATCTCAGCCTCGCGGTCATCATTCGTGATTTTAGCAACGAATGCCCCGCTAGGAATATCAACTCCTGGAGCCGGAGGACCTCCGCCTCCTCCGCCCTTCTGCTCGCCCCAGATGGCATCATCTTCCTTAAATCCTTCAGATTTCTTCCAGAACTTAGGGAAGATACCGCAGGCTAGGTCCATGGCTTTTAGAGCTTTCTCCGCCAGACCCATGTCAGCGTTGATACTGTCCAGGCCACCTTCAATCTTTTCAAGCTGCTCCCCTTGGTCATCCAGAGCAACTAGGGTCTTGATCCCGGCATCCTTGGCCTCTGCGCATAGGTCCATCATACGCCGAGTACTCTCTAAGGATTCGTCTGTGACCTGGTTGCATTTTAGCTGAAGTCCTTCCAACTCCGTCAGTTCTCTCTCTGGTTCTGGTGCTGCGGGGGCGGCCATCTTGGATTATTCCTGAAATAAAATAAATATAAAAATGTGTTTATCAACTGTAAATTTAATTAATTATTTATTCGACATATAATGAGGCATTAATATTAAATATTAATGCATGTCAAAAGTTGCCTGAATTCAGTCAGCCTTCAGCACAATAAACCTGGAAGCTTTCTTTTTATATTTATGCATTATTAAATAGTAGGTTTTATAAAACTTGGAAAGTATACAGTAATGATGTACAAGATTTCTATATATTTTTCATATTACAGGTCTGAGTATGTTGTGATATACCCGGAGCCAAAGTTTAAGTTTAGCTGAACCTTGGAGAATGTAAACATCATGCCGGAGAACCGAGATGCACTAGGGAAACCATAAACCATAAAACTAGTTTTCATCTAGCTAACTTAAACCACAAAGGTGTTAGAAGAGGGAGAGATTCTAGTTAAAGTTTGATTTACAGTGGGGGGTGTTAAAGTGGACCTTTGACGTAGTTTCCAAAAGTTTGTAAAAAGTAAACCTGTTTCTTTGTGATGAATGATTTATGATATTTCCGAGTTTAGAAGCCCTGGCCCGAGCTCATGTTAGGTTAGTATCAAGTTAACAAAGAGTGTATTTATCATACTTTTCATAAATAGGCCTTTTACACTCAGCGGGGGGTGGGCATAGCTGTTAACATTAGTATTCGGCTTTTAAAATAAAAAATAGTAATTAGTATGAGTATGTAGTGTAGTGATTAGTATGAGTATATAGTGCAGAGCTCAGTATGTAGTATGGAGATTAGTATAAGTATGTAGTGTAAAGATTACTATGAGTATGCAGTGAAGAGATTAGTATGAGTATGTAGTGTAGAGATTAGTATGAGTATGTAGTGTAAAGATTACTATGAGTATGCAGTGAAGAGATTAGTATGAGTATGTAGTGTAGAGATTAGTATGAGTATGTAAGTGTAAAGATTACTATGAGTATGCAGTGAAGAGATTAGTATGAGTATGTAGTTTAGAGATTAGTATGAGTATGTAGTGTAGAGATTAGTATGAGTATGTAGATTAGAGATTAGTATTAGTGTGTAGTGTAGAGATTAGTATGAGTATGAAATGTAGAGATTAGTATAAGCATTAAGTATTTAATGTAGAGATTAGTATAAGTATGTAGTGTAGAGATTAGTATGAGTATGTATAGTGTAGAGATTAGTAGAGTGTGTAGTGTAGAGATTAGTATGAGTATGCAGTGTGGACTGTAGAGATTAGTATGAGTGTAGAATGGAGACTGCGCAGTCCAGTAATTAATAGTCCTGTGGATTTATCCTACCATGCCACATTGAACATCATGTTCAGATTATTTTCAGTTTTCCTTTAAAATATTATTAGAGAAATCTACGTTTTAAGAGGATGGGGAGGGATATTTTTCTTCAGATTTTAACGAGTATTTTTTAGGCAAGTCGCATTTGCTGTGAAGACAAATGTTATGTATGATGGGAGCCTAGACGATGAATCCCCGGTTCATGGAAGTGCGGTCAGCTTCAAGATCGGAGATTATCTTCATATTTTTGAGAAGTTTGACGCCAACTGGTGGGTGGGAAGAAAGGTGAAGGAAGGGTCGGATATAGGATTTGTCCCATCTCCTGACCGCCTTGAGCAGCTGATTCTACAGAAAGCTCCAGTAGGAAAACTGGACAGGGTGAAGACAGGAGCAGGAGCTAATGGTCCTCCCACTGCTCCCCAGCAACAACAAGGACAGGAGAACGGACAGGGTGGCGAGGAGGGGGCAGCTGGGGTCCGGGTTTCAGCTCCTCCTGTTATTGAGAAGAAGAAAGGTTTGCTCGGGAAGAAATGTGAAACCTTGTCACCCTACGATGTAGTGCCTATTATGCGACCAGTGATAATGGTTGGTCCTTCTCTTAAAGGTTACGAAGTAACAGATATGCTGCAGAAAGCTGTGTTTGAATTTCTTAAAAACAAGTTTGAAGGACGGATAATAATCACACATGTCGGAGCAGATCTTTCTCTGGGAAAGACGTCGGTACTAAACAATCCGTCCAACCGTAAGCTCCTTGAGAAATCTAGTTTATCCAGAGCTAAGGATCTAGCAGAGGTTCAAGCGGAGATAGAGCGAATATTTGATCTCAGCAGGTAACAACTATATTTATCAAAAATAAATTCTTAACTAAAAAATATTTTACTATAGGAATATGCAGATTATTCTCGTGGATTGTGACACCATAAACCATCCTTCCCAGCTCGGTATGTTTAAAAAGAAATAAAAAATATTTTAAAAATAATATTTTTCTTCTTCTAGGAGACACGTCACTTGCTCCGATAATGGTCTATCTAAAAATTACAAGCACAAAAGTTCTTCAAAGGTAAACATTCATTTTCCGATTCAAGTAAATTTTGACTAAAGTTGCCTTTCTATTTTAGGTAAAATGTATAATTTAAGACTCATTTAATGGAGTTGTTTTTATTTTATCAGATTTATGTTGCAAGATCTTGATCATTAAATTAAAGTCAGCCTTGTTTCAGGTTAATAAAGTCTCGAGGAGCCAGCCAGTCTAGAAACATGAATATTCAGGGAACATAATCTCTAAGTTAAGCATGGAATATGAAACAACCCCCCCCCCCACCCTTTTCTCATCTCTTTTCCTCCTGTAAAGCCATGATGCAGTGTGAACTCTATGAGATTATTTTTGATTAGATTGTTGCCACAGAGAAGTTGGATCAATGTGATGCCGAACAGGAACAAATTCTTATTAACTTTTTTATTCTTCAAAATCTCAGAGCTTTAAAAACCTAATTTTTCTTTTAACAAATAACACCCCTTCCATTTAACTAATTTTAATTTTAATTTTTTTCTGGAAATATTGAATTTGGTTTTCATTCTTCAGTTTGATTTAATCCTTGATGAGTTTCAGTTGGAGGACGTGTGCGAGCATATAGCAGAGTATTTAGGTAAAAAATCGACTTAAAAAAAATGTTTTTACAAATTTTCTTTCTTTTTTAGAGGCTTACTGGAGGGCAACCCGAGCTCCCCGCCAACCTGTCCTAGACTAAATATATTTCATCCTTTAGTGCCTGACAATCAAAATACGCCTTGTTATTCTCACAAATACTCTTTAAACCAATTCTTTTCATAAATTCGCACTTGGAGCTTACAGATTTAAGGTAATTCATGCCAGTCATCACAACCAGGACACCCTGTGATGATAATCTTTTAGTATAATATACTCAGGACACCCTGTGTTCTTGATTTATGAATGTTTTACGTCACACTAAGGACACCAGCTCTGTGATTTTATCATAATTTATCTCATTACATTCATGACACCTTGTGATGATAAATCATGAACTTTTTTCACCCTTAATTCATGACATTCTGTGATGATAAATCAAGAACTTTTATCATCTTAATCATGACACCTTGAGATGAAAAAAATATAAAGCCTCCTCTCCTTTAGATCTTTAGTATTATTAATATATTCTATGACAAATATATGTTTTAATTGTGTATGCTAATATATATATATGAAAAGGGAGTGGCAATGTTTTGGTTTTATTATTTTTATTTACTTTATAATTAAAGTTTTATAATTCCGAAAGCTGAACTAACCGGAAGAGCAGTTTTGTACAGAATCACATTAGACAAATGTGAACTTTTTGTGAGCAGGGGAATTAGTGAATGAAAGAATATATTGTACAATTTATTCAATTGAAAAAGAGTTAAAAAACTTGAAATTTTTGAAATTTCCAAAAAAAGATAGTACTTAAAAAGAGTCAGAAGAAATATAACATTTTGAAATACTAATTCTTTTACTTCAAGAGTCAATTAAATATCTAAAAATTGGTTTACTACAGACCCGGACAGTTAATCAGACGACTTTACATATATATCTCTGGTAATTTTAACGCACAATAAAGGCAGATCACATTTGGGAATTGGCAGGACTAGGGCTATTTTGTTATAAACGTTTCATTAATCATATTTTTTAAATTAGATTTCAAAGTCGAATGATTACTTATAAATTAATTCCGGATCGTTCTGATTATGACTGAATAAGAAAACAAAGTGGAATTCGGATCGTTATTCTTTTTCAATAAATGTCGCGTAGGATATTGTAATTGAAAGACCTGAGCTGGGAACTATTGTATTGTGGATATCGAGATCAAGGCTTGATCTCAATCTTTAGTTACTCTATAGATTAATTTAAGCTTTATTCGATATCTAGAAAAGACTAAAAATTGTCGTCTTAGGAAAACGAACAGCCGATCAGAATCAAGAGAGTAAGCGTAAAATTTAAAAGTGCCAGTTGATATCGATGTCAAACCATCGAGATTTTGGTATCCAACACGTAAGTTCCCGGCTCTGAACATTAAAAAAATATGTCGGAAATTAAAAAATGCTCAGCAGCAGTTTTTAAGTAATAGAATGAAAAGTACTACAGGGTCACCAACAAAGGTTGAGACTTTAATGATGACCTAAAAATCCTGAAGTATGTTGATCTAAAGGTATCAGCTAATGGGTGCACAGTAGCAATATACATACTGTCTGTTATCTTGTCAACAAAAACAGGAAAGAATTTTGTTAAATCATCAAAAAGTTTAAATTACAATACTTTTGAATGTTAATTGGGTAAATTCAATTGAAATGTAGAGAAACAATGTCTTTTATTCGATCCTACAGTAGGGCCCATCAAATTCTGGAATGAGACCTGTTTTCCTAGAAACACGTAGCGGATATTTATTGCACCATGCGATCAAGAAAATGTAAAGATTTTCATAAAAAAAAACCGTAACGTGTTCTTTATTTTATTCAGTTGAAATGATATCTCCCGAGATTTTGTAACTTGGAATTGTTATATATATGACATACAAATGATCAGGACACATAAAGGGTGTTCCAAAAAACATGGGACGAATTCAATATCGTCTTTGTTATGAATTAGCATTGTAATACCTAATTTCAAAAGCCATAGTATTATTATGTCTGCTAGAGTTTATTTTATGAAAAGGGTAAGAGACTGTAAATATGTGTCTATAATGTCTCCGCAAGATGAACAGTGTAGACGGACAAGTTTACTCTGTTTGTATACTGCAATGTTCTTGTTTTACTAAGTACAACCCGTATGCAGTCAAAACATAAACAAACAAAATGTAAACATAGCAGACGAAGATTACAGCTTTCTCGGTAGGTATCACTATAGTAAATCAAAAAATTATTTAAAAAGACGATATCGAATTCGTCACTGAATTCCCATGTTTATTGGGACACCCTGTATAAAAAATAAATCAGCATAAAATATAAAATACTTGTTTAATAAAAAAAGTAAAAGACGATATTATATAATTATTCCAGTTCCTGTAGTTTTAAAACATTGTAAGTAACTCAGATTAAGATTAAATTTTAAAGGGAGAATCGTTGATATATATCTCTATTTTAAAGGAACTGAGATATTGCCACAAACTCTGAAATTTTCTAATCCCTAAATCTTAGCAAGCTGATGGTGTAAACATTTGACATTTTAAACTTATTAATTACATAAGAAATCCTTACTTTTAAACTTCATACAATTATAAAATTTAAACCATAGACTTTTTGAATTAACTTCAGTTTGGGACAAGAACTCATATATTTAAAACTTTTTAAAGAACATTTTCCAAAAATCAACAGAAAACTCTCAAAAACAAGGTTAAATAAAAATCAAATTAATACAGTTCCTATACCATATCACTGATTTTTATGTATTTAAAACCAAAGAAAAATGTTTAAAGTTATTATAATATGTTCTTTATAATATGTAAATTCAGAAAAAGGGACGTTCACTCTCCAAAATATAGACATTTATACGTTTGTCCTGTCCACTTTTTTATAAAATATTTATCATAAAAAGATGCAATGAAAAAAGTCGTCTTCCCTCAACCGAAAATGTCAGAAAAGAAAGAAGTTTCATAAATGTCGTATTCCGTATTTTCTCCTTTAAACACCATAATCCCCCCCTCTCAAGTAAGGAATCGAGATTTTGCCACAAACTGAATTTCTAATCTATATACCTTTCCAATCCGATGTCGTAGACCTTTGATGTTTCAAACTATGAATTCTGCAAGCTTAAATAGTTCTACTCCATATCAGGTTGAAACAATAAAAGACCTAGAAAATTTGAATGTTTTTTCTTCAATTCATGGTTCGTTGCATGATGGTGAAACTATTTTTAATCTTATCACTTTAGGAGTTTTATATCAGTCTCGCTCTATAACATATATAATGGACAATCATTCACATTCTTAATTTTCAAACGGTTTTTCTTTTTCTTTTTTCTTTTTCTCCTATTTTTGGTCTTAAACCATTAACAATACAGTAATTATAGAGTTGATAAATATATCTGTAATTAAGAATAAAAAACACTTGTTCTCTTTCAATAAACACCCAATTATTTCTAAAAGAGGAATTTAATTGAACACTATATATAGCGGCTGAGATCGAAGTATTTTGTCAAAAATGTCTTCGTTACAAAATTCATACGAGGAAAAAAATGTCACGGTTTGGTTTTAAAAGATATAAGTCTTTGCCACAAACTCTGTTTTTCTAATTTCTATATATTTGCTGCAACCCAACCTCGTAGATCTTAGATATATACCTATAGATGAAATAATCTTAGTTTTAAATATAAAAAAGTACACAATCAGCTTACAAAGATGTAGGGATTAAAAATTTGAGTTTGTGGAAAAGTCTCAATTCCTTTTGACAATAAACAAACGGAAATATTATTTTGTATTTGAGGAGGTATGAAAGATTCTAAAGATAAACCATTCATTATTTATTCTATGGATCACAATATCTCCAACATTTACAATATTCTCCGGTTTGCAATAAAAGGGGTATGTAATACATATGTAACATATTTATCATTTATGTTTACCCATTTTTGTAAATTTTTATTTTGTCATTTTTACAAATTATAACCCTATACCCCTTTACAATAAACAAAAGTTTATATTTTTTACTGAAATTTAAATCTTGCATATTTTTAAAACAACTCTTCTGAAAAAAATGAGTTTAGTAATCCCTTGAACCCTTTATAACATTAAACAAATTACTTTTCTCACTAATGGCGTAAAGTGAAAACTTGAGGAAACACAAGTATTAAAAGTTATATTTCAGAAAAGTAAATAAGGATTCATTTCATTTGAATGTCCTGAAAAAAACGGATCCGGATCCAGGCCATGCAAATTTCTTCGATATTAACTGATTTTTTGAAAAAATGAAAATTTTCCAATAATTTTCTTACTTTTTTTTCTTTGGGCAAAAAATGAACCATTCAGAGATTATTTTTTAACAGTTATATTTTGTATTTTTAGAGCAATTTTTTTTTTTAAATTGGTTATGGTTGAATTTGGATTTTGGACGACTAGTTTAAAATTTGAAAACTAAAACATTTAAAAATTTGTAAAATGAATTTTTTATTCCCAGTTACTCAACTAAAAAAAATTATTTAAAAAAATAATGAACTTGGAGCTGCTATTAAAAATTGCCATTTATACATTTCTTACAATTTCAATTTCTAATAAATTGTCAGTTGTTCTGAACATGCAATTATTGGAACGATTACTCATTATGAATTAAATAAAGTGTTGATAACAAATTACAGTAAAAATTCAAAGAATTCCAACGTTTTTAATAATTTTATTGGATATATTTCACTTAATTTGTATTTTCAGTAAAAAACACATCTTGCGTGTTCCAAAGTTAAATTTTTTAATCTGAGTTATATTTAAAGAAAAAAGTGTAATTTTGTCATGACATTTTTAATAAAAATAAAAATATTAATATATTGGAACCTCCTTCCTCCACTGTTGTAACATAGAAAGGATATTAATGGAATATCTATATCATAAAACAAGCCATTTATATATATGTTGCGTACAGCCGGCCAAACGGGTGGACCGATTGGGCTGAACATTTTTTGTGGACCCTCGGTGGTGGGCTAAAAAAATCGAAATTTTAACGTTTAAATTTCTACTAATTTTAATTTAATATTAATAATCCTTAAAATGCTTAAAATGTCTCTTGTAATTTTGTTCAGTTCAGAAAATGGAATTGAGTCTTTGCCACAAATTCAAATTTTCCAATCCATATATGCTCGCAACCTGACCTTGATATTTCAAACTTAGAACATTTGACGTAACATACACTATATGTAGTTTGAATTAGCTTAGGTTTTCTACATGGTGCCATGACAAACTCCTGAAAGACAAACTCCTGAAAGACAAAATCCTGAAAGACAAACTCCTGAAAGACAAACTCCTGAAAGACAAACTCCTGAAAGACAAACTCCTGAAAGACAAACTCTTGACAAGACAAACTCCTGACAAGACAATCTCCTGAAAGACAAACTCCTGAAATTATGAAAATTTTCTCTGAATGAAATATGATAATATTCATAAACTTTAGGAAACAAAATCCGCAAATATCCTAGAAAAAATTCTCAATCTTTAGTAATTTGAATATGCTTCAAGCAGCAAAGTATTGCAATGATCAGAATAACAAGCAAATTTATTATAATTTATTTTTTATTATTTTGGGTTAGGTTAGGTTAAGACACTTTCTGGGCCGAGGCCTAGCGCTGCGGCTAGGACATGCTAGGGGGCCGAGCGCTGCGGCCATGGGTTAGGTTAGTTAAGACACTTTCTGGGCCGAGCGCTGCGGCTAGGACAGGCTAGGGGGCCGAGCGCTGCGGCCATGGGTTAGGTTAAGTTATGACCCTTTCTGGGCCGAGCGCTGCGGCTGGATTAAATATAAATTGTGAAACATTTTTTTAAATTTAATATTATGGAGTTTGTAATTCAGAAGTTTTTATTTTTAGGAGTTTGTCTCGTCAGGAGTTTGTCTTTCAGGAGTTTGTCTTTTCAGGAGTTTGTCTTTCAGGAGTTTGTCTTTCAGGAGTTTGTCTTTCAGGAATTTGTCATGGCGCCTTCTACATTGGGTTGCGAAGATATAGGGATTAGAAAAAAAGAGTTTGTGGCTAAGACTTAATTTCTTTTATTATTGTTTTGATTTAAGTTGAAAATTTGAGTGGCGGATTCTACCGTCTGCATGAGTAGCATATATGTAGCATATATGTAGATCTAGTTTTGTAAAAATATTTTTATCACACTTCTAATATTTTTAACATCAAAGTCTACTTTGCAAATAATTTGAATATTCAAATTATATCTGTGAAATTAATTCATTTCACACACGAAATATATGAATGTATTTTGTAAAAATGTACAAGCTTTGAATTAGTTTCCTTTTCAACACTCTTAAAAATAGCTTAACATCCTCATTTAAATTTCTACAATTCATTATATTCTTCCAATCTGGGGCCTTTTTGTTTCTAAATAATTAAGAAAATATGAAAAAAGAAAATTTTACCAAATTTCGACTTTTTTTCTAAATTCTAAATTTTGAAATTGTAAGAAAACCATTATTTCCTTGTCTTCTGACATTTATTGCTTAACTTTACAGGATAAAATTGTTCTTTAATGAAAGCAAAAATCAGTTGAATCTGTAGGAAGTGTAGAGAAACTTGTAGAAAGTGTGAAGTGTAGAAAGTGTAGAGAAACTTGTAGAAAGTGTGAAGTGTAGAAAGTGTAGAGAAACTTGTAGAAAGTGTGAAAGTGTAGAAAGTGTAGAGAAACCTGTAAAAAGTGTAGAAAGTGTGAAGTGGAAACTTGTAGAAAGTGTGAAGTGTAGAAAGTGTAGAGAAACTTGTAGAAAGTGTGAAGTGTAGAAAGTGTAGAGAAACTTGTAGAAAGTGTGAAAGTGTAGAAAGTGTAGAGAAACCTGTAAAAAGTGTAGAAAGTGTGAAGTGTAGAAAGTGTGAAAGTTCGAAAGTGTAGAAAGTGTAGAAAGTGTGAAAGTGTAGAAAGGTGAATGTGTAGAAAGTGTGAAAGTTCGAAAGTGTAGAAAGTGTAGAAAGTGTGAAAGTGTAGAAAGGTGAAAGTGTAGAAAGTGTGGAAAGTGTAAAAAGTGTAGAAAGTGTGAAGTGTAGAAAGTGTGAAAGTGTAGAAAGTGTGAAAGTGTAGAAAGTGTGAAAGTGTAGAAAGTGTGAAAGTGTAGAAAGTGTAGAAAGTGTGAAACTGTAGAAAGTGTAAAAGTGTAGAAAAAGTGAAAGTGTGAAAGTGTAGAAAGTGTAGAAAGTGTAGAAACTGTGAAAGTGTGAAAGTGTAGAAAATGTTTAAAAATGGAAAGGATTTGGGACTGGAGACTTTACATATTTACATATATCATACAACTTTTCGGATTTCAAATGCATTAAAAATAAAAAGGTTTCCGTTTTTATTTATTTCGATCTGAAGTGCCTGGCGTGGAATTTGAAAAACACTATCTATTCCCTTCATAATACAATATATGGTAAAATGAATTATGTTGACATAATGACAATGCACAAGGACAGTTTTTCCCCTCTAAATTCAACCTGAACTTAAGAACATCAATATCTGGTGAATTTTTTTTTTTAATTCTCTGTTTTCCCGAGCTTTTTTGTATTATAAAAAATGATGAGGAAATGTAGAAAACTATCTGATAAAGGAAAAAAGGGTGGTTTCTTCTACTTAAAAATGATTTTTTAAACCAGCACAAAATGCAGTTTAAAAAAGTTTATCTATCAGTAAACAAACTAAAGTATCTTTTTCCCCTGTGGGATAGAAAATAATTTATCTTTGCTAGTTTACATCTATTCTCTTGCTATAGGATATCTGTAAAGGGAACCAATTCAACTTTATAAAAATTCTCTTCTCTTTTTGCTCATGTTTTGATTTCTTTTCTCCCCCTTCCCCCACATTGGACCGCATGTTGAATGTCAATTTGTAAAATAAAATAATTTGAATAATGAAATTCAGAAATGTATTCTAAATTCTAGATTTGTAATATGATAGCCAAGAAAACTTAAGAACCTTGCTGAAATAGACGAACATATCAAATCAAAAGTTCTCTTTTATGAATTGTGAAGCACTTAAACAAAAAAGAAAAACATATTTTTGTTGAGCTCAGCAATGATCATGTTTTTATCATGCAATATGCACATTAATACAGGGAGGTATTCTAAATTGACAATGTTTTAGTGGTTCAACACTACAATAAGGATTCTTAAAAATCCAAGGGTATAAGAAAATTCATACGGAAGCGTTTAAAGGGGGGTTCAGGGCCCCTCCTGTAAAATAATAATTTCCAGGCGGGGGGGGGGGGGGCTTTATCAGATGTCATAAAAGGTTAAGCCCCCCCCCCCTCCAAATTGCTGAATACGCCCCTGAATGCATGAACTTAAAGCACAGAACATTTTTTTAAAACAAATAGATTCGATTTGTGTTTTTCTTTAGAAAAAGATTAATTTTTTTTTATAAAATCTGCATAACATATTATAACTAGTATTTCTGCTAATATTTAACTAAGTTTTGTTCCAGAGGCCAAAGCTGTTCAGAGCAAATTATAGAGAATCAACAGTTCCATTAAAGTGGAGGGAACTAAAAGTTTTCATTTCAAAGTGAACAAAGAGTTACGGAATATGAATGCAAATTCAATGAAAAAGTGATTACACCAAATGGCAATGAGTGACTAAATCAATGGAAAATGTGAACCAAATGGATTTCAGTGATCAGAAGTTTTATGCAGCTGCATTAAATTGCAAGATTTTCAAGGTTTGAAATACCAAACTTGGTTTCTTTTTACAAAATTGCATCGGCTCTAATAACAGGATTAATTCCAGGGTTGAGACTAAAATCCAAGCAGCAAGGGGATTATAGGATCTTATTCTTAAAGGGACTGTGAGCGTAATTTAAGATGACAATGCCCGATTTACAATGGTACCTTAGAAATCTTAATCTGATCAAAAATGTGAAAGATCCCGTCGTTTTTCTAATTTGAAAAGTGTTTATTTCTGTGAGTTTCTCCTTTGCTCCTTTAAACAAGAAATTCGCAAGTCACTGTCTCAGAAAACATAAATGAAAATTAACATGTAAAGAAACAAAAAACATGAATATCTAGTTTATACTTGATCAGATAAAACTTTCAATGGTACCGTTGTAAATCGGGCATTGGCATCTTTGCATTTAGAGTTATTTGAAATTACGCTCACAGTCCCTTTTAGCGAATAAGCAATTCAAATTATCCCCCTCCTAAAACCTTTACCTAGGAAAAGATGCCATAAAAGGATAAAGATAGAAGGGGTATCAAGTCACAAAATTGAAACTTGACATTACTGATAATTTAAGTCTATAATTAAAATATGATTTGGTTGATTTCATGGCCTATGGCTTAATTTTGATCAATACCAATATGTGATCCGTCTATTAGACAATCCTGAATAAAAAGATGTTTTTACAAAGCATGTAAAAAAGTCTATTTCTTTTTTACTTTTCAGTCATACCATGCTCTCTATATGTAGAAAGTCAATTGAAATTACAGTCCCCTGATTTAAAAATATATCAATTGGTTTACTGTGGACTTTCAATTCTCCTCCATTATCATTAATTTTCTCTGAAGTTCTTAACCTAATTTAGTTTGCTAATGTTACTTAGGGGAATTCCACTCTTTAAGTAAGCTTACGAGAAGGAGAGAGGAAGGGATGTTATAATCTTAGATGATAAAACATTATTCTTAAAAATTATTTAAAATTGTTTATCTAGAAGTCAGCACTCTAAGGATCATCTATCTAAGGATCAAGCATTGATCTTCATACGATGCAGATCAATGGATTAATTTAATCCCTGAAGGGACATCTTTTATCAAGGAATTAGGCAGTAATCCTCAAATTTAAAAGTGTCCACACTGTATATCGAGATCAAGGGTTCAAGATTAACAATATTCATACAAAAGCTCCAATCTCAGGTCCTATTTATAAACCTAAGAACTCAAAAAGTGTTTGAGTTACGAGGTCTAAAAGTCGAACTAGCAATTCTGTCTAAATGAATCTCTTTCATATGTTTTAATTGGGTTGCTATATAAGTTAAAAGATATATCTACCCCTTGAACCAATACAAAATAACTCAGAAGTTCATTATATACGTATATACCTTCTCATCTAAATGAATCTCTTTCATATGTTTCAATTGGGTTGCTATATAAGTTAAAAGATATATCTACCCCTTGAACCAATACAAAATAACAGAAGTTCATTATATACGTATATACCTTCTCATCTAAATGAATCTCTTTCATATGTTTTAATTGGGTTGCTATATAAGTTAAAAGATATATCTACCCCTTGAACCAATACAAAATAACAGAAGTTCATTATATACATATATACATTCTCATCTAAATCTTTATGGCGGTAATTTTGCCCAAAAAACCTCCAAAAATTGCTGAATCAGAAAATTGATCAGCATAATTTTTTCTTTCTAAATATCTAAATGCTAGCTAGACAAAATCAAGATTGTTTTGGATAAAAATAGACACAAACTAATAATAATAATATAAAAACCAGATTGTGGCTCTAATTTGTAACTGGGTCGTACATATTCTTTCTTTTTCTTATTTTTCCTCAGTTTTTTAATTATCTTTTCTCTCTGTTAATACTAAATAAGGTGAATCCTGAGAAGGTTTCTTCTTAACGATTTCTCTGTCTCTCATAGCATAGTTATGCCTGGATACAAGATACACCCAATTACGGATCTAGGATAGAACCTGATCCTCCTCCTAGTCCTCTCTTATATCTACCACAATTTATTTAATAACTATACAAGAGGTGGGAGGGAGAAAGATTCAGCCATCAAGTATTCATGAGCAAATCTTTTCCAATTTAGCCCACAGATTAAACAACATTTTTCTTTTCTACTTTTTCAGGTTTTTAAGGGTGTTTTTCTAAAATTCTAGTTTCTGAATTATGCTTTTCAAGCCTTTTTTAGTACATCATAAAATTTTTTTTTTATCTACTTTTTTATGACTATTATTTTTAAATGAAGTTTTAGTGAAGGTTTGCTGTGCCGACTCTCTAGAGAATACATTAAAACTTTACATCTAAATTCTCTACCCTAATTCTCAACCTTATTCGCTCCTCACTTATATCTACCCTGCTATAAAAAGTTACATCAATTTTTAAGACTGGATGGACTTATGCCTTAGAAATATACAATTTAGACCGTTATAAAAGCACTGGTTTTAGCCTTAGTTTTTAAGAAGTAATTGGAAAAATTCTCATCGGTTTTTTGGACCATTGTGTCCTGGTTAATTTCATAGCTTATTTCCTATCTATTCTTACTCTTCTACACCTATCTAATACTACGTATAAAAACCTTTTAATATCCTTTTTACCCCAGTTCTCTTTTGTATCTATTGTTGATTCTGTACAACGTTCATTGAGAAAATGTTCAATCAATATTCTTTATAATAAATCAATATTTCCCCGGGCACTGCATTCTTCTAATAAAAAACCAAGGATAATCTCTAAAAATACCATGAAACATAATTTTATAAAAACAATATATCAGACTGAAGGAAGCAATTTGCTCAAGGGTATTTCCAACCAATACAAATTCTTTTTTTACATCTTTACAAATTGAGAGAAATAACCGAGCTCTGACAGTCGAAATATTAAAAAGTGTGTAGTTTTTCAGGGCGGGGGATCATAGACGTATTCAGGGGGAGGGGGCTTCTCCCCCCCCATGGGTCAGTAAAATCTATGGTTTTCAGGGGTTTTTTGGGCCACCTGAGCCCACCCTAGGAAAATATTCCTGACTACACCCCAGAGGAGAATCAAAAATAGGTAAACAATTGATCAAGTTGAGTTGCCTATTTGAAAACCGGAAATGTTGAGGATATTCTAAACAGAAGGAATTCCCTGGGGAATAAATCCAATATATTGATTGATGCATGAAATATGATTAATCTTCTCCTTGAAATTATAGAAATTATTAATAATATGCTCATAGCAGATTCTTTAAATTGATCTTTTATGGATTTGAGTATTTACTACAAAATCAAATTTTCTAATCCCTACATCTTTGCAACCTGATAATTCAAAAAATTAATTGATATAACAGAGATCATATTTGGGAAATATTTAAGATCACGACATTGGGTTGCAAAGATATGTTTTTATCATTTATTTTTACTTAAAAATTTTTAAAACAAAATTTTAAAAGGGCAGTGAATTTTTTTTCTGGCTGTTATCTGTTTCTAAGCTGACATGCAATCACTATGAAACAGCATACATTCTGCTAGTTGTAGCATGCGGCAACTGCATGTTGTGTGTCTGCTTTAACATGCAGCCACATTACTGAAGCATGAAAGAAAAAGACTTCTATGAATTGATTAAATGTTATGAGCTCGCAATTTAAGGGTTACTTCGAAAACTTAACACCATAAACCTCAAAATACCTCCATTTTCTTTAGATATCTATGTTTATTCATTAAGTATAAATATCTGTGTGTTTGTATGTCAGATCATAACTCATGAACCCCTTGACTGATTTGACTCAAATTTTGATGAGGGAACTTGAATGAATTACAGAAATGTTCTAAGCTTTGCTTAAAGTTAAGTAGATTGATGTTTGTATGAAAACTCAAGTTTTCAGGCACAGTTGGGTTCCGGCCCAAGCTAGGGGGTTAATACAATTATTCTGTTCTGAGGAATAGCAATCTTGCAGTTGAGTGAAGGAGATATACATGATAATTTAGAAGATGATCCTTACAGAGCAGTATTAAAATATCCTTCTTAAGATTGCACTGATCCCAAATTCAAGAGTTTTGACATTTTGTAATAGTAGGTCACAATATATCAAACTGTGCATGATCGAAATTTTTCGGTAATTCCTAATGATCAAATTGCTTTTTTTAGACTTTTACCTTTTAATATATTTTTTGTTGTTGCGTAACCAGAGGTGTAACATGAGAAGGGGGGGGGGTCCTATCATTTTCACGTATTGCCTTTGACAGGGGGGCGGGGGGTCTAACTATATTATATATATATATCTATACTTTTACAATAAAAATTTCCTCCCTTTTTCATTTTGAGCTTGTAATTGATTGAATATTGAATTATGCTATTTACAACCTGTAACAATTAATTATTTTTATTTGTATTAAAAAGAACTTTCTTTAGACTAAATATACATTGAATACACAATATTGTGCAGTGAATATTACTATTGATGATAAATGTTAGATCTCCAGGGGTATAATTATAAACCAGGAAATCCTATTTCTTTGTTTACTTAAAAGTGTATTGCAGTTTTTGAAAGAAATGATATTAATAAACATTTTCGGGTTCCTGGTTTAGACAGTACATTTTGTAACCCTGGCACAGCTGTTTAAAGAAAAATGTATTGATCTGTACAAACTGTTCTTTTACAGGGTTACCCAAAAAAATGAGACTTAAATGACGACACATAACTCTTAAAAAGTATCTAATTCAAGGTCTATTTTAGTCTTTGAATTAGTCTTCACAGTTGCAGAGATAAGAAAAAATTCCAGATCAGTCGTCTCTGAAATCTCATATTTTGTGGGTTACTATCTTAACAAAACGAACTGTACAGTGTACATTTACAATACGGTACAGTACATAATTTGCAGAGTAATTGAGGTTATAAGTAAGAATCCTCTTTAACTTTATTTTATGAATGAAACAAACTTTAAATTAAAGATCACGATTTTGTTTACATAATTGTACTTGTGTGAAATTTAATTAGAATTATTTATAATTTTTATAGAACTTGATTAAACGAGTCTAATAAAATGTTTCTAATTTCATTGTTGTTTGACAAGACAAAGTGTAGGACTGTGTTTTTATATATATATAGTATAGATTGCAACTATTATCTGTTGTTTATATCATGTATTGTATAAGAAAGCTTCCAACTTTATTATTAAATATTTTGTTTTTATAAACCTGAGATAACGCCTCAAAGATGGATTAATACCTGAGTAATAAATGTGGGCGTGTAGGGCAGGGTAGGTGTGTCTGGGAGGAGAAGGCGTGTCTGTAGGATAAACCTCGTGATAAACCTCCCACACTGAGACTGGAGTATGGAGGCAAACCTGACTATGGAGTCCCGAAACCTCCATCTTTATTCCAACCCTTGGAAAAATTAGTAAAAATATTTTTTTTTCGTTTAAAAATTAATCTTAAATTTATAAAGTTTAGTTTGTTGCGAAGAAAAAAAAAATTTCTATGATGTAATAAGTTTCGGGGCCCTTCTTTCTGGTCGGAGGTTTGAGGCCGAGACAGGCAGGGAACCAGAGGAGGAGGGGGTAGATTCCCGGGGAGGGGGGAATAGCAGAGTTGGGGAAATCTATAGATGGCCGGGGGGTGGGGGGATCAAGAGAAGAGGACAAAACGCAGGCGTAGATGTTGTTAAACCAGCTGAGAGATACACGGTTTTAATTAAGGATGACGGATAAAGAAAGTACGCAGGGATTTTGCGTAACTAACGATTTTTAACCGCAGATACGCATTTCTAAAAACCCGACAGGTTTCCCCTGTTATTGACTAAATGTTTGCTTTCCTATTATATGAATTCATTTAACTCTCTTAATGTTTTATAGTATTAAAAAGGCAGCTAGATACAAAACCATGAATGATAAAAAATCATCATTGACCCGTCCTATCATTTCAAATTATTTTATTCCGCGCGTTGGAAGAATTTTTTTGGTTTTGTTAAAAAAGGAAAAGAGAGGAACGGATAAGAGGTGAGCAGAGGCGGACAAAAAACAATAATTTAAAAAAAAACTAATTTTGAAAACGTATCCACCCCCAAAGTAGGAATTTTGAACGTCGAATTTGAGCTCAAAATCAGGATTTACAAATCTTTAAAATTGTTTAATATGTCTCAAATGAATCCGAAAGAAGTTTTCCTCAACACTGCATACTCAGTTCAACTACCTTGCATAGCCGGTCACTCCCTTTAATTCTTTTCTTTTCTTGCAACCATATGGCGTAAAACGAAGATATTTCAAATTTAGACTATTTGATCTAACAGAATTCATAGTTTGAAATGTCAAAGATCTACGACATCGGGTTGCTGAACAGTTAAAGTTTGCGACGAAACTCACTTCCTTTAACAATAGAATTTGTTTACCTTTTCTACATTTAGAGCAGTAAATATCAATATTTTTAAATATATTTTTCACTATTTATACTTTATTCATCAAAGAATTGTACTGAACAAATTGTTTCACGTCCCATAACGATATTCATAGTCGAAGTTCTTTGATATTCATAAATATATAAAAAAGCTGACACATGATTCTATGTTAAATTGTTTCGAAAGTAAAGATTCACAAACGCTAGAACTAAGAAAACTGAATTATCGTGAAGAATTCTCAGAATGAAATACGTATCTTAATTCCCGGCAATTGAATGCGTTTATTTGGGGTTTTCCTCATTCTTGAATTTTCAGAAGTTTTTTTTTCTGTGTCTGTTTAAAGAAGAGCTAAGATTTCATATTTATAAATACAATTTCATTTATGAACTATTTATCTAAAAAATATATGACTCGAACCATATTTAATTTCAAATAGATCACTAAACTATTCAAAATTTAGCTCACAAATATTAAATAAAAACCAAAAGCAAAAATTACGATATAATATAATTCTCATAAGCTAGTTTCAATTTAGAGTTATCACAAAAATCACATTTAAATCTAGTGATTACATTCTACATTCTACATCATACTTTTTTATACTTCAAATTCTAAACTCTCGTTAGCACTGCAATCCTTGCTCTCATCAGCTCCCAACTTCAACCTTATGTCCTTAAACATTAAGTAGATTTTAATCAAGTAATAATAAGTTATTATTTATTTATGTATAAAACATGAAGTTTATAGGGTTTGGTGGGAGTGTCGAAAATATTTTGAAAATGAAAGCGCTGTTTTAAGGACTGAGTCTTAGAGTCTATGCACTTTTTAGTTATAGTTTTTATTTTATTTCTAGATTTGGTTTTCTTTGACCGTTTACCACTCAATTTTTTATTTTGCAAAAAGAAGATACCTGAACTATGTTGATCTTAACGCGGTATCTCGTTGTATCTCGTTATATCTCTAAACGAATGCATTTTTCCATCTTTTCTGTAGGAAAGACGAACTATCATTAAACATTCACTTACCATTCCTTTACATTTCAAAAAAGCTTTACATTTAAAATTAAAGGTTAAGAAAAAGAAAAGTTATGTAACGAAAATTAAGTTTACAATTGAGATATTTCAACTTGATCTCACACGAACTACAATCTAACATGTTTATGTTAAAACAAAAAAAAAACAATTTTCTTTAATCAAAATCTATATGTCGCGGCGAAACAAATCTACGAAGTATTAAATTAAAAAAAGTCCGAAACTTATCAGAAATAGAAAAAAATAGATTAACAAGCCAACGTAAATAAATTTAATGCACAGTAGGTTCTGTCCTCTGGTTGCAAGGACATGGTTACATGGTATTCGAGGTCAGGGACCACGAGTAAAAGACAAAACTCTGGTCTCTGATATGGCTGATAACTGTGGGAAGCAGATCTTGAGGTCGATGTTGAGAATGTTTTTCTACTTCTTATACTCTGCATCCTTAAACAAATTGACAACTTTCACTTTTCAGAGCTAACTCATATTAATCATGAAAGTCAGTGATAATTAGAGAATTCTTAAAATAAGTTAAATAATCTTAAAGGGACTGTGACCGTAATTTCAAGTGAGTGATCTTTCATGCAACGATGGGAATACCCGATTCCTAACGGTACCATTAAAACCTTTATCTGATCAATGATATTGTTGTTTTCTTAGGTTTAAAAGAGTTTGATTCAGATAATTCCTCCATGTTTCTGGACTAAAAACGCGCGCGCAAGTCACTTTGTATTAAAACCACAATTGAAAATAATTAGTTTTAAAAATAATTAACATCAATATATAATTATATATATATATATATATATATAATTAATACAGTCCGTCCCTTTAACAGAAATAAATCAATATATACGACGACTGAAAACAATGAACATAAACAAAAAAATCCATCTTACAAAAAAATCAATTCTAGGGACATTAAGACTAGGACTAAGGTAACCTTAGTCTGAATTTATTTCTCCCAGAAATGAGTAAAAAATCTAAAATCTTACCAAACGTGCCTCATAAGCCTTCATCTCTTCATTGTGCCTAAGTAGTAAAATATGCATGTAAAATTATGTGAAAAAACATTTCCATATCTTAATCCACTCGAGAATTTATAAGTTTAAGAGTATTTACAAACAATGACGAAAATCGAAAACCAACGCATCTTTAAATGCGTCGCAAAAATTAAAATTAATGTTTTTAAACATAGAAAGAAAAATAAGAAAAAATACTGGATGTGAATAAGGTGCAGTCCGGGCGATAAATGGGTGAGCACACTGCAGATGTTAAGTTTATGCATATATGACGCCATTCACGGTCCAAACGAGAAGGTTTACCCTCCCACTCTCGTTGGAGTGGGAAAAATCGTTTTGGTTAATATCTTTGATTAGAATAAAACTTTTGCTTTGTGTAAAAAAAGCAAACTTGTCTTGTGAAGCCATAAAAACTTTAAATGTTTGATAACAGGCCTCAAAACAATGAACATTCTTAGTTTTGTGTAATGGAAAATTTAATATACTTGAGTCTCTGCTCAGCAGCCTTCTCATAGTACTCCTGCTTCTCCGAGTCCTCCAATCCGTTCCATTCTGCTCCTTCACAAAGAAAAGAAACATTTTAAATTCGGTGTTAAATAAGGTGCTCTAAAACTCTAAAACTCTTCAGTTCTTGATATTTGTTTCTATCATGAAGATTAAAAAAAACATTTTAAGAATTTTTGGAGAATTAATTGTAATTTAAAATTTAATGTTTGGATTTACATAAAAAGTGGTTTCTTTCTTTACATATTCTTTTGATGATATATCACGTAGCCTTTGTTCAAAAATTAAATGGGTGGGGTGGGATTTTTGTCGAAGCAATGTAAGGAAACTAGGAAACTAGACGTGAAATTGGAAGCTATTTTGCCTTTTTCATACTTTTCCCCAACTAATTATTAATTAATTATTCCTGTTCATTTTTTCGAAATTCTTTTTAAGTTTTCCAAATCAAACATTAACAAGGGGGTGTGTGACAAAAACATTAGGAACAGCATTTGTCTTTTAAACACTGAGAATATACTGTTTCTTTTCTTTCACATACAACCCGGAAATTTTAAGGGTATTTTTGTGACTTCTATGTGATAACCATGAACTATGAAAGGGCCGGGGCGGGGCGGGTGGTGTCTATCCCTGGATTTGATATCCATGAATTCGTTAAAACGGAGAGAAGTGTCCGCCTGAATTAACCCCCAGTTACCTGCTTGAGCAAACAATACGCGATGAGTCTCTGATCCCCCCTCTTTATCCTTTATCTTCCGCACAGCTTCTTGAACGAATATATTGTACGCAGAGAGAGATTTTTTAGGACGGTTCAAGTCCTTCTCCATCATACGCATTCTCTTCTTCAAAGCCCTCCGCTGTTTCTGATGTTCCAGGGCATCCTTCAAATCCCTCTCCGCCTCCCCAAGTATGTTGTTCGTTATGTGTCTCTTCATCCAGTGTTCAAGGTTGGGACTTGATCCTCCTCCATCATCTCTCCGTTCTACTCCGTCCTGGACAGATCCAGGTCCGTAGGTGGACTGAGCACTGGAACTGATATTATCATTTTCCATCATAATGAAAACTAACTAAAAAAAAAACTATTCAAAACCATGTACATTGTGAAACAATGTCTTCTATATATGAATTTGGCTTGTCTGTCTGTTTGTCTGTTTGTTTGTCTGTTTGTTTGTTTGTTTGTTTGTATCCAATAAACGTCAAAACGGCTGAACCGATCGGGCCCAAATTTTTTGTGGTACATCTAGGGACCCCAGGGAAGGTTTATGAAAAATCAAAATTTCAAATATTTGTCTCCATCAAAATTCAATCGTCATTAAATTTTTAAAAATTTTTAAAATCCGCGAAATTTTTTGTGAAAATCCGCGAATTATTTTTGTTTTGTTTTACGATGTACACAAAGAGAACATGTTCACAATTAATTTAGAAGATGGGCGCGAAGCGCCCTAAAAGCCTAGAAAAAAGGGCGCGAAGCGCCTTGAATTTCTAGTAATTTTACATTTATATAGAAAAGGAACATAGAAAAATGGTTCTTTACAGTGTAAATAGAAATAAATAATAAAAGTTTACAATGCAAAATTAAATAATACAAATAATCACAAGCTAAATCATACAGTTACACAAATTTATTTTAACTAATTCTTTGGAAGCGGAAGCTTATAAAATCAGTTAAAAAGGAATAGAAGAAACGAGAAAACAGATGAAAGGAAATATAAAAAAGGATTTTAAACCAGATAACGCAATCCTCTCTTTGTGTTATTTAATCTATGCATGATTTTATGTATTGTTGCATAAAGGAATCTAGTCGTTGCCACAAACTGAAATTTTCTAATCCCGATATCTTTGCAACCTTATATTTCAAACTTAAATTATATGATCTAATTCATACTTTGAAATATCTAAGATCTATGACAATGGGTTGCAAAGATATAGGAATTTGAACATTTAAGTTTGTGGAAAAGACTTAATTCCTTAATCATTTAAATAACAATTCCTTTGTATTGATATAAATATATTTTTTTTTAATAAAATATGAAGTTTAAAAACTGAAATATATATTTATATATAAAAGGAGTAACTTGTTATATGTCTTGTAATAGACCAAATAAACTAAATTTAAATGGCAATATAATATATGTTTACGTTTATTTTCTACAAATAATCCACAGTTAAACATTCCTTCTCCGCTAGGATCTGATCCAGGGTTAGTTTCTGAATAGACATGAACAGAATTCCATCCGAGGAGAGATTAGCACATACATCATCTCTAGTAGTTCCTTCCGGCAGAGCGAAGGTTCTCCGGAACTGTCTAGATATCGTCCTAGTCCCTGATAACCAATGTTGGTTTTGAAATGCTGATATAACAATCATTCCGTTCTCCTCGACGATCTTAATCTCGTCCGGTCTGAAATGATGAACGTCGAGACACAACATGAGACTGTTCTTGTCGCAATGATACATGATGAGCTCCTCATCTCCGTCCTCTGGGAAGAGGTCGAGATCCCCGGTCAACCCCAGTTTCAAGGAAACCATCCAGTGTTTTGGAAATACCAAAGTTTCGTCCATTTTTATCCCTTTCTCTTTCTCAGCTTCAGTTTTCATTTGTTGTAGAGCATGTTCATCCTTTCTCCGAATCTCCTCGGATACTTGTAGAACGTGCTCTTTCAGCTTGTCGCATTTGTCCCAGTTCAAGTGGAAGAATGGATCTTTGAAAAACAATCCACGAAGAGTGACGGGAACTCTCATTTTTAACTATTTGATCAGGAGGAAACAGCTCTGAGACTGGATTCAATCCTTTCTACCTTTCTTAACCAGAAGCAGTAGACTACTGATTCATGGATTATTCAGCAGTTACATTATTAAGAATCCAAAAGGGTTCATGGAAAACATATTGGTGTATGCAATTGGAGGGGGCCCATAATTTACGCATCAGAAGAACTTGCACTGACCGACATCTACGTCTTAACGATCGCCATCTTCTGCGTTCTTAGTAAAATATCTGTAAAATTATAAAATTAAACAACTTTTAACTGAAATAAATTTAAATTTAAATCTACCAAATATTAACACTATTTTATATGCAATTTATGATGGCATGCAAAAGATCACAAAATACACATCTAAATAAAGATGAAATGAAATATTTTCAGTGTTTACAAAAATGTTTTTGACCCCATCGAACTTTTTATTTCAAAGAGATTGTCACACTGATTCTTAGTTAAGAAAATTGTGCTTTTTTAAAATTGAAACCGAATTCTTTAAAATTACTTTTACAATCCCTTAAAATTTTACATAAAAACATGAGCAATATCACATTATGTCTGTAGTTAATTCTAATTATATTTATTCTGTTTTCCAATCCCAGATGGTTCGACTAATCAGTCCCTCCACAGGAAGCTCTTGCTGAGGCGGAGCTGCTGGGGGAGAGTAAACCTCGTTCAAGAGCAGCTCAACTCCCTGCTCTTCCTCCACCTTGAGCTCATTCCCCTGGAGAACATCTCTTTGCTCCTCTCCCTTCGGGAGATCATCTCCCTGCTCCTCATCACCCTGGAGATCATTTGGTGAGTGTTGATCTCTCTCCTGGAGCTTCTGAACCTCTTCATCATTTGCAGCTTTTGATGTCTCACCCAACCTTCGTCTTTTATCCGTCTCAGATAAAATAGGAATATCAGGTTTTTCGTGGATTTTTATTTCCGTCCTTCCCTCCTCCTGATTCCCACTTTCTTGGTTTTGTGTTTGGCTTTCGGATTCTTGATTTATCTGTTTCAAACTAAAACATTGTGTAATTATAAAAAAATCAAGAAACAGTAGTACTGTGACAGATCACAAGCAAATCGAGTCTTTGGAACAAAATCAAATATTTAAACCTCAATATCTTTAGAACCCGATGTTGTAAACCTTTGATATTTCAAACTCATATTATTTGATCTAACAGAATTCATAGTTTGAAATATCTAAGGTCTGAAACATTTGGTTTCAAAGATATAGTAATTAGAAAATCAGAGTTTGTGGCTAAGACTCAATTCCTTTAAAGAACATTAGGTTTATAATCAATTCAATATCTACATTATATTAGTCAAGCAATTAATGCTAACCAATTAGTAACTCACATGATTTTACTTTGTGGATAATTCAGAGCAAGATAATATTTATATAAACATCAAAATGTTCCACATGATATTTAGATCGTTTATTGCAATGTTGGTGATGTTTTGGACATAATAGAAAATAATAATATATATGGTTTAATATAAAAAAGTTAGTATGCAGAAAACACAGGGATCTTTCGATTATTCTGAATGTATTTTAGAGTTAAAGCTGTGAAATGATCCAGTATTTTAATAAGTCCAGCCAATATTATTATCGTAATTTTGTATCAGTTCTAACCTTAGCTTCGGGAAAAATGAGCAATTTGACTGTATTTTCATGAACAAACTCATAAAGATGTCTTTAAACTAGTTCAGCTCTCCTGGTGTAGTAACTTTACATTTACTTTTTGTTAATATCTGTTTTAATGATGGTTGTCCAAAAAGAACGAGACTGCAAAGATGACATAAACTCTTAAAATATGAGGATTCCAGGATTAAATTAAGTCTTCTATCTTGAATGTATTAAATGATCTAGAGAAAAAGAAAAAAGTTCATAAATGCATGGAGAATTATAAATTCAAGGAAACAAATTGTACATTCTTATTCTTTGTGGGTTCCTGAAAAAAATAAATGATTTGGATTGATTCGATCTGAATAAAATTGTTATATGTACTGTGATGTTTGGGTACCTTGCATGTTTTCTAAACTGCTTGTAATAAGAGTTGAATACCACGACGATCCTGTAGACGAGGAGGAGAGCGAAGACGATGATGATGCTGAGCACGAGATGCCAGATACCCTCGACACAGTAGTGCTCACTTTTCATATTGTCCCAGTCGACAGTAGGCCGGTAATGGAAGAAAACATAACTAAATATTGAGAAGGGAGGTTAGAAAAATTTAGATGAGGCAAGGACTAAGGACACCTTTATTTCTAGGCTTTATTTGTTCCTATTTTATACATTTCAGGCATGTGGACATTTCATGAGTATGGGTATGAGTATGAGTATGAGTATGAGTATGAGTGAGTATGAGTATGAGTATGAGTATGAGTATGAGTATGAGTATGAGTATGAGTATGAGTATGAGTATGAGTATGAGTATGAATATGAATATGAATATTAAAATGAATATAAATATAAATATAAATATAAATATAAATATAAATATAATATAAATATAAATATCAATATAAATATAAATATAGATGCTAAATATTTGTACCAGATGTAGCCATAGATGACGAGCTCTACCAGGAAGATGGGGCAGCAAAGGTAGGTGAGGAACAGGTAGATGGAATTGAAGCTGCTGTTGTAAACGACGTCGTCCCCGACCATCTCTATCAGGCGCTGCTTTAGATCCTGATTTATGTACATAGTAATAAAACAAAACTAACGACCAGAGGCGTATACAGAATACAAAGTCTTGAATATTTCACAAAAAGTCCAAAATGTGTAAAGTTCTTCTAAAAAAAAAAAATTATGAATCTATTTTTATAAGAATCTACAATTTACATAAATATTCAATATGAAGCTTGAGTGCACAATGTATTATTTATATCAACTTATATCTTTATTTTTTTCTAAAACTATTTTCTATATAATCCAGTTTTATGTGAGAGAACATGTTGGTGGTGAGGCCCAAGTAATCATCTTTATACTGGAGTATTGGCTACATTGTCCTTGAAAGCTATAACCATATTTTGAATATTTTTCTAAAACTATTTTCTATATAATCCAGTTTTATGGAGAGAACATGTTGGTGGTGAGGCCCAAGTAATCATCTTTATACTGGAGTATTGGCTATATTGTCCTTGAAAGCTATAACCATATTTTGAATATTTTTCTAAAACTATTTTCTATATAATCCAGTTTTATGGAGAGAACATGTTGGTGGTGAGGCCCAAGTAATCATCTTTATACTGGAGTATTGGCTATATTGTCCTTGAAAGCTATAACCATATTTTGAATATTTTTCTTGTTTCTTTTGTAAAGCTATATAATCAAAAAATTTATTTAAACAAATTTAAACTACACCATTAATATATGTATTTATATCTTTGTGTGTAAATAAATCTTTATAATAATTATATTAAAACTTTAGCTTTGAATTATATCAAAACTGGTCAAGCGAATCAACTACTATATTATGTATAAGAAGTAGGTTAAAATAGAATTTTTTTTAGAATTAATAATATTTTTGAGGTATATTCAAAGTTTAAAATGTCTGTAGAATCTATAGACATAATTTTAGGTGATCCTCCATGTTGTTTTTCTACATAGTGACTTGCGCATTTTTACTTAAGGAAAACAATAAATAAATCATAAGAATTTAACACTTTTCAAACTAGAAACACGACGGTATCTTCCACATTATTGTTCAGATAAATGATTTCAGGGGTACCTTCATAACTCGGACAAGTCCCTCTTTTAAATGGAAATTCACTTAAAATAACATCTACAGTCCCTTCATATGCATACTTTTTTCTTCTAATAAGTAAAATGGTAAAATAGTTTCCGCTAAATATTAATAAGGCCCTTCCTTTTTCTTTATTAGGTTTAACGTAATTAAACAGGACAACCAGAAAACAAGAAGATTGGATAAATGATTATCCGTATTTTGCATTAAATAAATACATGAATCAATATGTGGTAAACGGTAATGTAATTTACAATTAACCTCAATAAATGATGAGATGAGTAGAAGAACTCCTGCTGCCATCAACCACTCCATCACCTCGTTGTTGCAGCTCTCTACGGGGAAGGACAGGCTGATGCTGAGCAGGGCCCCGGTGAAGTTGTCAGCTGTTGATCTGAGAAATATTAAAAATCTAATGTTCTAAACAGAGTGCTGAGGATCCATTTTGATGCGGATGCAGAGTAGGATCCTGGATCCACCCTTTCTCATTATAAAGGAACTGAGTTTTTGTCACAAACTCTACTTTTCTAATCTCTAAATCTTTGCTACCCAATGTCGTAGACCTTTGATATTTTAAACTATGAATTCTGTTAGACCAAATATTCTAAGTTTGAAATATCAAGGGTTTACATCATCAGATTGTAAAGATATAGGGATTAGACAATTTGAGTTTGTGACAAAAACTCAATTCCTTACTGATTTTTTTAAAGACAACTTTTTTCTCAAATTTTTCATTACTTTTTAATGCGAAATTTTTTAAAAATCTCTCTTTTTTCAACAATTGAGATTTGGGTTTGGAGAGCAAACAGTATATTTTTACAGTTTTTGGTGGATATTTTGCGGATCCAACGAATCCTAAGCACTGGTTTTCAATCAAACCAACTTTAAACTACACGAAAAAGAACATTCACCAACTCGGTAGAATGTTGCCAACACCTTGGTAGAGCTTGGTACCCTTCATAATTAATATGCCAGCAGTAATCAAGAGGATGCAAGCTCTCACGCAATTGATGAAATTTTTGCCAAAATTGTTTTTTGAAAAATAAAGCTGTTGTATTTAAATAAACATGATTAGGGATACAAAAAACGTACGAGAAAGTTACTAAGGTCAAATCAACACTTCAAAGTCGACCCAGTTTTGAAAATTGATGTAGTTTTTTATTGCAGCCTGGATCTTTGTGTGCCGTACATTTTTCTGTAAATAATCATCTTTAACCTTAGGAATAAACCTTGCTTAAAGTCTTCAAACAGAAACAAAGCTTTCTTTACGTTCTTTAAGATTTGAAATAAATCGGTTGACAAAAACCGAAAATATATAAAGAAATTCATTTAATTAAGTTTTACGTTTTGGTTTAAAATCATTATTTTTTAAAGTATCAATTCGACCCAATAACCAGTTTGATAAAAAATATTAAGCATATTTGATAATAAAAAACCAAGTTACTTTGCCAGAAGAGGTTCTGAGAATGCATCATCGAAGAATGGTTTTAGTCCATGCTTAACATAAAAATTCTCCAGCACACTCCACACATATCCTTCATTCTTTTTTACACGCCTAAATACGTTTTAATTAATAGACCAGCAGGGATAAATACCGTGGTCGCCGAAAACAACGAAGCCTTTCAAACAAACGTATTGTTTAAGATTGCGCTGTAAACGAAATCATCTTCCCACTGCGAAATATCCTTTATAAGGCCTACGACTCTTTATCAGATAAAAATATAGAATTCGAATCCTGTAATATTCACAGATAAAAAGTAGGACAAGACAGGACAGGACTGATCCTGGTATTATGTATATTGGGGTCTCAGTTTTTGCCACAAACTCAATTTTTAAATGCCTATATCTTTGTAACCTGAAGGCTTAAAAAAATGTTATTTCAATTTTTCAAAATTAGATTTTGTCATCTAACAGAATTCATAGTTTGAAATATCAAAGCTTTTATCATCAGGTTGCAAAGATATAGGAATTAGAAAATTTGAGGTTGTGGCAAAAACTCCTTTCATAAGGCTGCTTAAGATAAATTGGAGCAGACATAGGCATAACAAAAGAATTTTCTGTATAGGGGGGAGGGGGAGACTCGCAAAAGATTTTAATTGAGGGAGGGAAAGGAGCTAAACCAGGAGGAGGGGTGGTGGCAGGCGAAAGAAGCAATCTACCAACCTTCCACGCCAGTTGGCGCTCCTTATTACTCCTTAACCCCTGACCTGTTGTATGGTTGAAGTCCTGAGTGCTTGAAGTACCAGACATAGTACCAGAGTATGAGTATCGACAAGCCTACCAACACCTGACCCAGGAACACTACAGCTCCTAGGGTTACATCAGTGGCCTGACAGTAGTCACATACCTGGCCGGCCACCCCGGTCAGGTCAGAGAATATTTCTAGTATTACACATCGTGGTTTATAAATAAAGACGATAGCTATAATTTATTTATCTTTTGTAAAAAAATTACCGCGGAATATACAGGGTGTCCCACAAATCATGACAGTAGGCGAATGGTTTTGAATGTCTTCTTCTACATATATTATATTATATATCAAAGACTTTTTGCAGTTTATTTCGTTAGCAAAATCTTTTACTGAAATTATTTTACTTTGAAATCAATTTTACTATAAAATGATCCTGCCATTTTATATTTCTTATATATGATAATTAATCTCTTTTATTATGGGAGAAGACATTTAAAACATATATTAACAAACTGTCATGTTTTGTGGGACACCCTGTATGTACATAAATTATTACTAAAAGTTATAATTTGTTAAGTATCAACACAAATCAAATAAAACTATAATATTATTCTGCAGGGAAAAACGTAAAAAAGATTTTAATTCTGACTATTTTCGTCTAAAATAACGACCGTCCAATGAGGATCCACTGTCAAGTGTTACCTGTATTTTTTAACTGTCATTAAATAAATCTTGAAAGTGTTCGTTCTCCATTTATTAATTGTAAATGAATACAGCATCAAAACTATCGATATCTTAGAACTAAATTATGCGGATAAGAAATGAATACAGCATCGAAACTATCGATATCTTAGAACTAAATTATGCGGATAAGAAATTAATACAGCATCAAAACTATCGATATCTTAGAACTAAATTATGCGGATAAGAAATGAATACAGCATCGAAACTATCGATATCCTAGAACTAGATTATGCGGATTAGAAATGAAACCACAAGGTCCCTGTTTTATCTCTGTATAGGACTGCATCCTGCATATTCTGAAAATCTGCACCAGCAAAGAGAATTCGAACCTGAGGGCGTTCAGTATCGTTTTTAGTGAACAGTGTATCATTCCTTAGAATATTAAATTAAACATTCAGTATTAAGGTAAATTTTTTTTAATTAAGAATCCGGGCAAAGAATAAGCTAGCAATTTAGTCAGATACTAGCTTGGGAACCCAGATTTGCATGGAAACTAATCTTTCTCTAAGAAAGTAAACTCGACCAACCACAAATTCTTAAACTAAGATATTTTTGTGGTCATCCAAGCTCCCGCATAAAAATTGAAGGCAAATCAGTCAAGGGGTTCCTGAGTTATGTTCGGACAAAAAAAACAGAGATTAATACTAAATTTAACTAAAATTTAGGGATAAAACTTAAAAGCCCTTTAAGAAGATAATGGAAGCAAGTTCTCTAGAAAAGAATTATCACATATTTAGGGATACAGGGTAATAATTATGTTTAGATTAGGCTTGAAATAGTTCGGATTAACAGACAAGAATTTATCACAAAAAAAATATTTTTTAAAAATAATTATTTTTTACCTGAATATTCTAGCTGAGCAGTTATCGTTCCTGTTAAACTTGATTAATCCATATTGTCTCTTGAAGCTTATTTAAAAAAATAAGATAAAAATTTATCAGACAAAGATAAAAATTGACAAGAAAAGTCTTTTAAACTTTGAGCCACGGCTAAAATATAGTTGGTTCGACATAAAATCGTATTCAATGATTCAAGATTTAAGCTGGCTCTCAATTAAAATCGTTTTTTTGCGGATTTGAACCGCCGCTTAGATTCATTAAATTCGAACTCTTGCGTTATAATTCCAAGTGACCCTCAATTTAAAGAGGGACTTTTTTTCAGTTTTTCGAATGTTTTGATAGTTTCTCAAATTATTTTTGATTTCTTATTAACAGTTTGATTGAATTCTAAAAGTCAGGAAACTAGAATAAAATCTTACCTGAAGACATAGATAAAGTATCCTAAAGTTAAGACTAGAGGGAACTGAATCCCCTGGATCAAAGACAAAACAATGAAGATATAGATAAAGTATCCTAAAGTTAAGACTAGAGGAAACTGAATCCCCTGGATCAAAGAATGTTAATTAGTTAGTATTTCAGAGTCCTAGTGTTATTTCTGTTAATTAGTTAGTATTTCAGAGTCCTAGTGCTATTTCTGTTAATTAGTTAGTATTTCAGTCTTAGTGTTATTTCTGTTAATTAGTTAGTATTTCAGAGTCTTAGTGTTATTTCTATGCTTAATCAAGTTTAAATTATGAAAAAATAATTTGCTATTGGTTTTCCTTTCAACCTTTCTCTCTCCTTCAGGACTATACCCACATGATAAAAAAACCATAAATGCAGTTCCAAAGCAAGGTTGCAATATGGTATCTGTATTTCCGATCATAACTCATGAACCTCTTGACCGGTTTGCTTCAAATTTTGATTTAGGAACTCGAGGCACGCAAAAGTTCAAAGCTTGGCTTAAAAATTCTAAGTTGAGTTGGTTGACTTTAAAAGAGAAAGTTTAGTTTCCAGGCAAAGCTGGGTTCCAAAGCTAGTATTTTTATATTTTCCAAAATTTCATCAATGATCCAAAAATGTTTTATTCCTTTCCTTGATAACATGCATTAATATATTGAGAATATATTTAGTTTGTTGTTGGCTTGATTTACAACTATATCTGTCCTCCATACTGTAGATAATAGTCTCCATGGACATCACAACTATACTCAGGAAGTGACTTAAACCTAAACAAAGCTTTCAGAATTTGTTTACGTATTTTTCTAAAATGTTTTTATATATAACTTTTTTACAACAAATTAAGTATAACATAATCTATTAGTGGTATTGAAACCTGAAATATGGGGAAAACAACTTACAAAAAGACCTATAAAAAGACCTATAAAAAAGTGACAATTTCCATTATCCGATATTCAAATACATATTTGAAGGATTGTGAATTTTTTCAATTTTTTAATAATTTGACACTAAAAAAAATACAACTTTCTTCATAATTTGAGGTTCAGACAAAATGGGTTTTATGAAACACCTTTAAAGTACATTGTAGCAATAAATCTAAATAGCCTAAATCAATGTTTAGTCTTTCAAAAAAGTTTAAAACTTTTAAGTATTATCATATATTTTTAAACTAACCCTTTAAAACGAATGCTTAAAAAGGTACTGACCTAAAAGGAAGAACATAAAGATGTATGATCTATCTTGACAGTTTTCAGCATCATCCAGTACATACGCGATAAACATAGTTTCAACTAATCCAGGCAGAAATATAGAATTACGCCGCAAGCTAGAGAAAAAACCAGTCACCTCATTTTAATTTTAAGAATGAATCTCGTTCAAATTTTAATCTAACAAGAAAAAGTATACTAGAGTCGCCAGAATAAACTCAAAATTGGAAAATAATCCGCGATCGTACTTGATTTGTTGACAACAGTTTGTTTTCTTAACGATAAAATTTCTGCTCAGTAAAAAGTAGAGAAAAAGAAATAAAACCATTAATACAGGATTCCTTAAAAAAGGAATAGACTCTATTGCCAACTTGGAATACTACAATATGACAATATGAAGGTTGAATTAGTAAGTATTTTAAGTATATGTTTGCTCGTAGCGCCATAATTTCTTTTATGGGGTTTTATTCGCTAAAGTGGGGGGGGGGGAATCAATCTTGGTTAAAAGTATTAAAAAACATTAAATAACCAGCCTTTTGATCAAAATCACTCCCCATCCAGAGGTGTGTGGGGGGGGGGGGTAATTCTTGAAATTATATACCTCTGATGAAGCGATTATTATAATCGGCCAAATGACCGCTTTGTCGATATAAAAATATTGTTGAAGTGATCTGATCTATTATCCTGTATCTCTCCAGAATGAATGAGTCGACAAACATCAATGATCGAGGAATCTCTTCTCCCGGCCTAAAGCCCATTTTGTCTATAGCAGCACTCAAACAAGAAGACTTAGATTTGAATGATCAAGTAACAAGCGATTTAAAAAAAATAGCCGTCGAGATTTGACCGCAAATAATTTCAAAAAGTTGTTCAGTACATTATCAAAACTACAGGGTGTCCCACGTCATATTAGATCGTCAATCGGTCTAAATTACGATTTTTTGACTGCTCGGAAAGTAATTGAATAAGGCTTATATAAGAATTTTTTTGCAGAAGTTGCTAGGATTTTTTTTGAGTATTTTGGCGTATTTTTGAGTATTTTAGAAATAATCTAATAAGATTGGGACGCTCTGTATGATAATAAAACATTACACGACACAGCGTTCCTTAAGAGCAAAAAGGTTTAACTTGGTATTGCGGAGCAAATTCAACTTGTTCCTGGTTCTCATGCATGAGGGTGATTGGAAACAATTTTCCGTCAAATTATATCACTCCGTTCTGGGGAAATAATGAGGTTCTTTCCGATACACCCTGTACAACTGAAGACACCTTTTACATGCTTATTATCTTTTCTGTTGAAGTTATTCCATTAATTTCTTTTCCCAGACCTTTTTGCATGTATTACCTTGTTCAGAATAAATTTTCATGAGTATTCTACCAAAACTAAGGTCTGTACCTTCAAGAGAGTTTAAAGTTTCCTATTTTACACTTTATTTGTGTTCAGAAAACTCCTCCACTCACAACTTGCACAAAACGTTAACCAAGGAACAAACAAAGAGGGTAAATACCATTTCAAATTACTAGAGGATGATACAGGTTTCCATAAACCCCATTATGGAACAGGAAACAGGTTTCTATCAAAACATATCCCATTGTCCTAGTGAGTTATCGATGTTTGTAAGGCACACCCTGTATAATGTAAATGCAAATGTATGATATAACAGATGAAGATGAAAGAGCCAATATGGTAGATGAAGATAGAAGAATTAAGGAAAAGGTTTATGGAGTATGGAGATATAAGAGTAAAGAAAAAATAAAGAAGGATTAAGATACGAGAAAATATGAAAAATGGAAGGTGTAGATTGTAAAGGATAAAGGATAAGGACAGAAGAGTAAAGGATAAAGATTTAAAATAAAGTTGGAAGAAAGAGGAATAAATCATAATGGATAATGATTTAGATGAAAGAGTAAAGAATACAGATTTAGGATTAAGATAGAAGAGTTAAGGAAAATTGATACATGGTTAAATTAAGATGGCAAAGTAAAGGATAGAGATTAAGAATTAATAAGATGAAAATGGAAGAATTAAGGATAAGATGGATAATTCAAATTAAAGTTTTTAACATGAAATTTTGCTCATTTTAACCAAACTGTCATAACATTCCAAGCTCCAAAATATACAGGGTCTATCTCTTGGAACCAGCGATATCTCACCAGGACAAGCAGATATGATTTTATGGAAACCTTTTCATGATGGTCTTAATGGAAACATATATTTATACGTCTGTAAAAATTAAAATGGCATTCGCATTCTTAGTTTGGCTCTTTGCGGCCGTTTGCTGCAAGTTGTCGCAAGTTGCGGGTTTCTCAAAACCTAAATGAAGATTAAAATAGGTAGCTGGATGTACTTGAATACAAACTTGAGTTTTGGTAGGAGGCTCATGAAAATTCATTCTAAACAAATTATTGCATGCAGGAAGGTCTATAAAGAAATCAATGGAATAACTTCAACAGAAAAAATGGTACTAAGCATTTAAAAGGTGTCTCCAGGTGTACAGGGTGTGTCTGAAAAAAACCTCAATATCTCACTAGGACGTAGTGATATGATTTGACGGAAACCTGTTTTCAATCCCCCTCATGCAGGGAGAACCAGGATCAAGTTGAATTTGCTCAGCAATACCAAGTTAAACCTTTTTGCTCTTAAGGAACACTGTGTCGAATAATAAATTCAAGACCGGCAGACTGAGAAATAATTCAGTTTCAAAGTAGAAAAACATCTAAATATTAGTTGTTTCACAATAAACTTTTCTATTTATTCCTATAGGGCAGAGTATATAAATATAAGTTTACTATCAACATATAAAACATGGTCCACAGTTTTGGCCTTTTGCTTTACCTATTCTCACAGATTAAATATAAAACACTCATGATTGATGATTACATTAACATCATGCGTTTACATTATAAAATACACAACTCTAGAATGCCTCGTACTGTTTTAACAAAACTAATTTTTATATTATAAATAATTGCAGAATTATCTAAGTTTAGATGCTTGTAAATTCAGGAGTATCTGTTCTCTGTCTAGAGGGTTGCATCAGGATGTCTCTCCATGATCATCCCAACTCCTTGTCCTCCGGCAGCACAGGCTGCGATCAATCCAAACTGTCCGTCCTCGCGGATCATCCTAACCACAAGATTATCAATCTTTTTTAACAATTTTGGATTGAGAAGTGTATAATTTGAAACACATGTTAAGGGCTATTACGAGCCAGTTCCAATATTTCCTTTCAAACTTCATATCATTTATAAATTCAGAAAAATATAATTTTTGAACAGGGACAGTCAGTTTGAACAGGAGGAATTCCGTTTTTTAGATAGTTTTTTAATCTTGTTTCCTGTTTGCGGTGTGCATGGCTAGACGAACTCCAGTAGCTCCGAAGGGGTGACCAAGGGAGAGGGATCCGCCCCACAGGTTAAACTTAGACATATCCACGGTTCCAACCTTCTGCTTTAATCCCATCACATCTTGAGCAAACTTGTCGCTGTCCATCGCCTAGAAAACAAATAAAAATGTTTAAAAAATACTTCACCACAAAAAAATTATTATTTCTAAGTAAATTAAAAGAAAAAACTACTAAATTTTTATCCCCTCCGTGCTCCTGAAAAAACTCCCAGATGTGCCGACACATTTTTTAGGAAGCATTAACTAGCTCAAATACAAAATTTAGCATTTTAAAATAATTTTCCTAATTGGCTTCATTTTACTCTTTTTCCCGTCATTTTTGGCCTTTTTAACCTTTTTTAACAATTCTCGACTAAATAGGGTTAACTCTGTCAATTTTCAAGGTATTTTAAAGAGTGATACCATTTGGGAAATCCTTTAACTTGGTTTAAAAGATATTTGACGATTTTCCCGATTTTTTTTATGCTTTTTGATGGTCAAACATTTAGAAAAAGGTGAACAATCGCGTATTTTTTACATCTTTTGTCAGCTCCATCTAGGAGGGCTTAAAGTAATTTTTTTCAATCTAGGAGGGTTTAAAGTAATTTTTTTTCAAACTGAACACCATGCTATTTGAAAATATTTTGACAGTTCAGAAATGGCCTAAAAAATGATTTTTCTTGAAAAGTGTAAAAAAATCCATTTAAAAAAACGGTTTCTGGTGCAATTTTCTCCTCAACTCCACTTGCTGATGCAACTTATAAAGAAATTGGTTTTTTTTCCTAAAAAGATGCCCATTGTTGTTAAGATTGCACAGTGAAAAACAAATGTTGGATCTCTTTTATGACGATTGAGCTTTAGACATTTTAGTAAACAAATTTAGCAACGCGTAAAATCCCGGTTTTTGAGTGACATTGCTGTTAGGCCAATCGAAATTATAAAGACTTAATAATTCTCTGAAAGGTTAATAACTCCATTATCTCTAAAGATATTGGAGTTTTGTATTTTTGCGTTATAAAGACATTAAAGGAAATCTTTTATGAAAACAATTTTTTTATAAGTTTTATCATTTGGCTAAGCATTGATGAGAAAATTGCATAGATAAAGATAGATTGCGCATAAGACGACATTTTTCATCTTGAAAGATATAAATGTAGAGATGTTTTAAAGATATTCCTATTGTATAGATTAACTAGGTCGGTTGTGAACATGGCTGTTCTTATATCATTGAGTACTTGTGGTGTACATGAGTTCTGTAGAGAGAAATTTGTGTTAGTTTAGTCCTTCATGTTTTTCTTTAGTTCTCGTCAATATGATACACTGCTCAGTGAACTATTGTTGTTCAAATAGTTCCATTCCCGGAGTTATTTTACACTCTATTATGAAATCCATTAAAACACCAACCACCCCGCTTATCAATGAAGTACACTTTGACCCCTAGAAGTATGAGTTCGCGGACTGTACAATTCTTGGTGATTTTGCGTACATAAGCTATCTATGTTTATTTATTTATCTATGGAAAATTGCACCAGAAACGTTATGTTATCAAACTATTGAGCAAAAATATTTAAAAATATAGTTTCTGCTTCTATGTGAAGATTATTTTTACTTACATTAATATTGGCAAGGATCTGCCCGGCGAATGCCTCGTGGTATTCCAAAACGTCGATATCACTGAGTTCAAGACCAGCCTGAGCCAGAACCTTAGGGGTTGCGTAGGTAGGACCCAACAACAGCTGATCCTAAACATACAGGGTGGGCATGAACAAATAGTCATACACAGTACACATCCGAAATGATATAAAAAAACTGCATGTTTCAACCGTTGACTGGGCTTTACAATAAAAGAGGAGATTTTCATCTTCCTAAATACATATTTAAAATAGAAATGTCTTAAATGATTCAGTGCCTATGTTTCGTGTGAGGGTTCGCATTTTTAAAGATATTTGTATCCGGACCTGAATCCGGATTGAGGTGCTGCGAAACAGAATTCTCCTCAGGCCAATACTATTTAAGCTTTTTATCAAATATACTGAATTTAAAATAAGTGAAAATATATCCTGTTTTGTAACTACTCATATATCTGATATTGAGTGTCGTACATTTTTATACAGCATAAAAAAAGTTAAAGAAAAGACTTGATATTGTATTTTTATGTAAAAAGAGATAAAATGAGTTATTGATTAAATACATTACCTTGGGATCCTGGGAGACGTATGTGTATTGTCTAAGATATGCCTTGGGCTTGAATCCGTACTGCTTGGCTTTCTCTTCGGTCATTATCAGACAAGCTGAGGCACCATCGGTTAAATAGGAGGAGTTGGCAGCGGTCACGGTTCCGTGGGGTTTAATAAAGGCAGGTTTCAGTTTGGCCATCTGCTCCTCTGTGGATACTCGGATACCGTTATCTTGGGTGATAAAATCCTTGCTCTTGGGAACCTTAATAAAGAGAAGTTATTTTTGTTTTCTATATAATAAATCTTTTCGCTCATCTCTTTATATACTTTGCATGTCTGTCCGTTTGTATTTAATAAACGTCTAAACGACTAAACCGATCGGGCCCAAATTTTGTGTGGGACCTCACTTGTCACCAAGAAAGGTTTATGGATGCTCAAAAAAATACAACAAATTTTTAACTTTTTTGTTTTTGTTTATATTGTACAAAGAGAAGATTCTTATAGATAGAGTCACAATTAAAAGAAGAGTCTAGTAAATAGATATATTTGAATATCGGTATACATATATAGTTTTTTTCTCTTGAATTGCTGCCTCGTTAATACTTGAATAGATAATGATGTTCTTTAAATTTCGCTATAGAAAAAGAAACATCCTTTTTTAACATTTCTAATATTGCATTAGTTTAAAATTTCCATTTTTTTTCCTTTTCGACTTTCTAAAAATAAGAATGTAACATCAATTTTGGCAAGAAAAAACGAAAAATTGTATCCGTAAACTAATAGATTTCTTCTTGATTAATTTACAAATGTATGTACACGCCATTATCGTAAAATAGTTTTTTTTTTGTAAAATCCATATAAACAATATAAATAACCTTAATATAATCTCGATACGGAGATAATAAATATCTAGATCTAGAAAGTATATATATATTGGAAAAAATACATATTTAAACATCTAAAATGTATATTTAAACTGGAAAAAGTTTAACATTCTCTATATATTTATGTATGTGTGTGTAAGCTATAGCTGGCCAAACGGCTGAACCAATCTTACTGATTTTTTAGTCTTAAAAGAATTTATATTTTTAGTTAAAAAAAATAATTGCAAATGAACTCAAAATAAAAAATAAAAAATGCAAATTAAGCAATCCAGTCAGATATAAAACCGCTTAAATTGATAATATAGATATTTATTTTTACTCAAGATTAATTAGAATCTACCTTAACGGGGATGATATCTGTAAGGTATCCCTTGTCTCTAGCCTCGGTTGCCATGATATGAGATCTCCTGGAGAAATCATCCTGCTCCTTCCTGGACACACCGAAGGTGGCGGCCAACCTGTCCGCCGAGTGTCCCATCGTCTCGTTGGTCGAGAACTCAGCAATAGCTGGCAGCTCAGGGTTCAGGAAGTCGGGGCGGAGCTCCGCGAGCAGAGCAAGTTTAGCGGCGACAGATTTGGCCTTGGGAGCCTTGAGCATGAGTTGTCTCATCTTCCTTGAGTGTCTGATTGGAACATCAGACATAAACTCTACTCCACCAGCAACACACACATCATATACACCTTAACAAAATAGACACTTTTAAGGAATTGTAGACGTTTTTTCAAAATACAATATCTGAATAGTGTGATATATCCGATTCACAACGGTACCCTTTTTATATTTTCAAGAATGGGCGAGATATCCATGTTTTTCCCTGTGAAAATTGATAATATTCAACCGTTTTTTCACTGATAGAGTGACCGCTGCGCAGAGAAAAATGAGGAAATCATAAGAATGTAACACTATTCAAGCTAGAGAAACGACCATATCTTCCACATTAGTAATCAGAGAGAAGTTTAAAGATATATCATATCATATCATACAGCTAGGGATGCGTCCAACAGCTCCTTGACCTACAAGGGGTATGCCATCACAATCCCCTATAGGTGAAGGCTTTTCAGCCTGACATAGTTTAAATCCTAACGTCGGACACACGACCAAATTTGAGCCATGTCACCGGTCTGATTCCTTTTGTCAGCTAGTTGCCAAACAGTTGTATTAAATACATATTTAAATGCTGACAGAGAGAATCTCCCTCCCGGTTAACTGAGTGTTTAAAAAGGGTATTCATGAGTTGAAACGAATAATTTTAAAATGAATTGATAAATAAGCTTATAATAAGTTATTGAGTTATAGAGAAGTGATTCATAAAATGAACCGACAAATAGATTATATGATAAATTATAAAGTTCTATAGATAGTGGGATTCATTATCGATTTATAGATAAGGGATTCATAAAATGAATCGACAAATAGATTATATGATAAATTTAAAATTATATAGAGAGTGGGATTCATTAGATGAATCGACAAAGAAATTATATGAAGGGATTCATAAAATGAATCGACAAAGAAATAATGTGAAGGGATTCATAAAATGAATCGACAAAGAAACTATATGAAGGGATTCATAAAATGAATCGATCGTTTTCTACATACCTCAGGCCTGAGATAACTGAAATAACGTCAGCAAAAAAATAATAGTAAAAATAATGGTTGATTGATCCTTTCAATAAAAATTGTTTATTCGGACCTGCATTCATCATTCCCATGCACGTTGTCATAGCTTGGTTGGATGAGATACAGGCCATGGTGACAGTATGAGCTGGAATCCTGTCTGAGAACCCGGCTCCTAGGGCAGCCTCACGAGCTATATTACTAGTCTTCACTTCCTTTAAACAAACGTTGATAAATTCAGAAATATTTTTAGTATTTCTTAATCCGGGTTTTCACAGCATCCGGTGGTTTTATATTGTATTTGTATAAAATTTAGGTTAATATTTCTTTCCTAACCCAAAAATAGGAACTGTAGAAATTATTTTTAACGGAAATTTAGGGCAAAGATTTTTTTGTATTCACCGCCAAATATCTATTCCTTTCGATATTTCTTTGGCATAAAATTCCGGGATTTTTACCGTCTTAATTTTCTAGGGAAATTAGAGGAAGAATAAAACCCTAGTAAACGATTCGGTGTTTTAACTTGAAGGATTATGTTCTAGCAATATGAATTATGTTCTGGCAATATGGATAACAAAAAGTCGTTGAACTACGTAGACTACGTTGAACCACTTCTCTTCAAATTGAACTGGTGCACAAGAGAAACGGTTCAACTACATCTACATAGTACAACCTTTTCTCAATATTTATTAAATCTGGACCCAGGTTTACCTGAATAACTGTTCCAATGCAAATATAATCAACAATAGATTTATCCAAGCCCAGCTTGTTGACCAGACCGGTCAACGCGTAGCGCTGAAGGTCATGTGGCATCAGAGACTTGTACGCTGTGCTGGAGAGAAGGAAGGGAGTTCTAACTCCGTCAACAAGAACAATATTCTTCTGTCCGGCATTATTACACTTCTTCGCCTAGATATGTTAAAATTAAAGAAAACGAAAGCAAAAACTCATATGTCAGCAATATCAAGAAGACAGTAGACAACAATAACAAATTTTTTTTTGATCTCAGACCATATAACCAAAATTCAAAACGAAACAAATCAAATCAAATTAAATCAAATCAAATCATGAATTTTAGGGGAAACTTTAGGTTCCATTAAGCAGCTCGGAGGTTCAATTCCCGATTGTGTACTGGTTTTCCAGCCCGGATCTGAATTTAATTTTGAATTTTGCTAAGAATCTTGTTAGTGACTTTTCCTAAAACCGTAAACATTATGATTCCAGCAACATGCCCAAGTTTGAGCCATGCAACCATTTTTAGATTAATTTCGTTCATTATGGGCCAACTTATTGATAAATATAAATGAAAGAGGCTAGCCCAATGGTCGTGTCGATGAAAAGAAACAAAGTCCTTTTATACAACTTGCATCGTTTATGTATCAAAACTGCAATGTGACTAGGTGTTATAATATTTGTGATTAATTGCTTAGGACACATTTAAGAAATAATTCATAAATATTTTTTCGACATTTCATTATTGAAGGAAATAAAGTACACCTCGATTATTCCAATGTTTTCTAGTTACCACTGTATTAAATTCATACTAATCTTACATTTTCATCCATACAATATATGGTTTCACATCATGAGTTAAATAATTTACTATAAACCAGCCCCCACACTCCCACTGGAAGTGTCCAAATTGAAAGAAAAAATTAACCTGGACTGATGTTGAAGTGGAAAGTCCTCTGGCTAGGAGAGAAGTCTGGGAAAGTGAAACCTTGGTTAAACTGTTCATTTTCTCTAGAATATATAGAACATTTCAGGGAGGTAGGTTTTATACAGGAAACATGTTACGTAAAATAAATACATGAAAAAAATAGTAATCATCATGATTAAGAATTTCAGGTAGTTTTGTACTTTTCAGAATATAATTTTCTTGTTTCAAATACAAATCTGCTAATTTGCAATTGTAACTCACTTTAATACAATAAGTCATTTTATGATAAAATATAATTATACATGTTAGTTAGATATAAAATGTGCCAAGCGCATGATAAAACAATCGTTACGTAAAAATATTAAAATTCAAATGCGCTTCACCTCAAAGGTACGTGTAGTTTTGGTCCTTATACATTACAATTTTCATCATGTGTAGAAAATACAGCTGATTAATACTTAACATAAAACAAAATTGTTTTAATTCAAAAGAACCAACTTTACATCTAGTACAGAAAGAAAATGTGTCCTATGAATTAAAGGTACGGATGCTCTATCGTGTACAAATAGAACATATAAACCCTGAACTAGAAGGAAGTGAGCAGCTGCTACAAAACATATTCCCACAACCTCTACATTGTCGGACTCCATCGCAGCTTCCACAACAGCTGCTTCTACAGCTGGAGCAGTTTATGATACAGCTGCTTCCGATGCTTCCCCGGCAGATATAACAGGTGAGACTAGTAGGACGACAGCTAGGGTTGATACAGGAGCAGCAGGACAAGGACGGATTCATCTAAAAAATTATCATTTTGAGTCTGGATAAAACCTTACTTTAGTTTGAATCATAGTTTAAGATAACTGGGAGACAAGATAAACCTAACCTGAGTTTGAATCATTGTTCAGATAGACTAGAGACAAGATAAAACCTAACCTGAGTTTGAATCCTAGTACAGTATAGACTATTGACAAGATAAACCCTAACCTGAGTTTGAATCCTAGTCCAGTATAGACTAGAGACAAGCTAAATCCTAACCTGAGTTTGAATCCTAGTACAGTATAGACTAGAGACAAGATAAAACCTAACCTGAGTTTGAATCCTAGTTCAGGATAGACTAGAGACAAGATAAAACCTAACCTGAGTTTGAATCCTAGTACAGTATAGACTATTGACAAGATAAACCCTAACCTGAGTTTGAATCCTAGTCCAGTATAGACTAGAGACAAGCTAAATCCTAACCTGAGTTTGAATCCTAGTACAGTATAGACTAGAGACAAGATAAAAACCTAACCTGAGTTTGAATCCTAGTACAGTATAGACTAGAGACAAGATAAAACCTAACCTGAGTTTGAATCCTTGTTCAGTATAGACTAGAGACAAGATAAAACCTAACCTGAGTTTGAATCCTAGTACAGTATAGACTAGAGACAAGACAAAACCTAACCTGAGTTTGAATCCTAGTTCAGTATAGACTAGAGACAAGATAAACCTAACCTGAGTTTGAATCCTAGTACAGTATAGACTAGAGACAAGATAAAACCTAACCTGAGTTTGAATCCTAGTAAAGTATAGACTAAGGACAAGATAAAACCTAACCTGAGTTTGAATCCTAGTACAGGATCCGGTATTGGTGAGACAGAGCTGTTTATAAACTTGTTTATCTTTACTTGGCAAACTTGGATCTATAACAAAACAAAAATGTTTTAATCCAATTAATTCAACTTTAAGTTGAAATATTCTGTGGCATAACTTCCGGATTGGACATTCATTGTTTATTACGATAATATGAATTAGCTCAGAGTCCAGCATTGTGGAGTATACAATTTTGAAGAGTATATTATACTTGTCAGAGAAATATGTTATTGACGAATATCTCCCTCTATATCTATATACAAACGAGGTCAAATTTACATAGAATTACTGGTACTACTTTGCGACCGTGTAATACCACTAAACGCAAAAGTGAGAAAACTGAAAGGTCAAAAAAGATCACAAGCTCTTAAAGAAATGAAGTTGTGTTTAAACTAAATCTAAAATTAAATGTACTCCAGTTCAGTGATATAGACCGAAAAAAATATTATTTAGGATTTAGATATTTAAAATTGGTTACCTAATTTGGTTTCAGCATTATTGTTTGCTACATTCTTCTGTCCGCGGAAAAGCAAAGACAAAGTTTTTTCATACACAGATCTCATATTCAACTCCTTAGAAAAAGGATAAACTATAAAATTATAAATTGGTCAAATCAAATAAAAAAAGTGTGTTTCGGTCCTCGAAGGACACCAAATAAAAATACTTGTGCATGAAACTACTAACCTTTAGCACTCCAGTGTTAACTTCCCTCTCGGAGATGTGGTTCTTTAACAACCCGGAGTAGTTTTCTTCATCCTCAGATCTCAGTCTCTTCGGCATTTTATATCTATGGTACATCATTCATCAAATAAAATAATTAGATTTCTCAGGTTAAGCGTATCTGGTTTCAAATCACAGAGTATTTAGAATTCTATTATTAAATAAAGTCATCATCACTATTATAGTCGGATATCTTGGGGAAGACGGTAGATCTTTTCATCTTCTTTTTCTTCAGCTTAGAACTACTCTTACCCTTAACAAATATTCAATAAAATCAATATGAGAATGAAAAAGACGGGATAACAAAGTTCGTGTCAAACTATGAATTAAAGAACAAAATCTTGTTTCAAACGAAATATTACAAAGTAAGAACCTCGTTACTTGTAAAAAATGTTGGGATTGAAAAATGAAAATTCTTCTTTGATTGTAACTGTTAACTATCTTACCTTAGTAAAGGAAGAATCTGTTTCAAGAATATCCAGCGCTTCCGGAGATGTCAACTCCCTGCAGTTCTAAAGTTTTTTTCAATGATTTAAAGTTAAGTAAATTATGCATTCACTTTGAAATTAATCGACAAACATACAATTCTTTGTACCCTTGCTATTAAGATTTTAAATCTTCAAAACTCCAGTTTATTTCTTTTTCGGAAAAGTATATAAAAAATTCTATTTGATCTATAAGCGTCAGGATGGAAAAAGTACATTTCTGAACACTACTGTGTAGAGCTACTATAATATATGTACTTAAAACTTTGTATTGTGTACTTTCGCTTGTACTGTTACTGTTTCTATTACATCAGGCTTTAAGGGTGCTTCGCACCCATCTTCTAATTCATTTGTAAACATTTTCTCTTTCAATACATTGTTAAACAAAACTAAAAAATTCGCGGATTTAAAAAATTCGCGGAAGGTTGATGGATGATCGAATTTTTGAAAATTCGATCATCCATCAACCTTCCCTGGGGTCACGCGAGGTCCCACACAAAATGTGGGCCCGTCGTTTTGACGTTTATTGGATACAAACAGACAGATAGACAGGCAAGCAAAGTATAGAGACAGATTGCTGTTAGACTCTACGCAATAAAAAAAAATATAATTGACGAGAACTCTTGACTTTCTATTCAGGTTAATTTCCAGAAAAATAACTTAAAGTGAAAGTATAATCTTTTTTAGTTTGCCGTGTAAAACTAGCATGGAAGCCTTGTCTGCACTAGAAATTAGCATAGAAACTGCAATCAGCTGTTAGCTTACTTTCTCATGATTAATATTTAGGGTTCAATCCTTCATTTTATATAGTTTACATCTAATCATAGTTCAAATATTTCTAAACTTGACAGGATATTTTCAAGAATATTATAAGAAATATATAAAAACGACTGCCCTTAAGCAATAATATGAAAGATAAGAACGTGTGTATGATTAGTGTTATGTCCATATTATCATAATTTTTAAGATAACTAAGATTATTATTTTTATTATTATTATTATTATCATTATTATTGATATTCTTATTATCTGATTTGTCCATCAAAATTAATCAAATCATATCGGACAGGGACGCCCCATAATCACACTCCGATTCCAAAATAAGTTAACATGCATTTGAAATACTAGCTTTAGAAACATAATAACATATTGATCTACAATCTACATCCTCTAATAAAAATTATGTCAATAATTAAAACTAACATTCAGTTCTCTCCATATTCTTATTCTATTAATTGAAGAATAAAATTGTCCCCTCCCCCCCACAAAAAAAAAATTAAACATGTAAAAATAAACACCATAATTTCTCGAATACCAGAATGCTTAACTAATCATGAAAATTAACAAAAATGACTCACCAGGTTCTCACTGGACGAATTAGTTGAGGACATATTTCTCTTATTCTCTTCATTCTCCAGGCTGCCGTAGGTCTTACTCCGATCTTTCTGTTTTCCGTTTAACCGGGTATTCGAGGTTGGAAATAACGGTTTCCTGGAGGAGAAGTTTAATTCATTCTCTCCGTCAGACGGAGGTAGACACTCATCATCCCAGTTTATTGTATCCTCAAATACAGGTCCTTTCTCCGGGGTGTCAGGGATTATTGTTGCGTCAGGTTCGAGATTTTTAGATCTCTTCTTCATCTCTCGTTTCTCCTTTCTCTTTCGGAACATCTGCGCCCACCTGGAGTAGGTTGGTTTCAACTCATCCACCATGTTGTCTACTCCACCCAGGAATATACTCTTCTCGCTTACATCTAAGGTTTCTTCAAGTTCAGGAATTAACAGGGAGGAATCTTTTGTGACTTGAGGGATCTCGATTTCTTGTACGGGTTGATAAATTATCTCTTTGCTCTCAGTTTCATCATCGAAAACTTCAATGACTGATTCTGTGTTGGAATTGTCAGTAATTACATTCGAGTCGTCATTGCAGAAATCAGGAGAATCGTCGAATATCAAATCCGCTACCTTGGTTCGACGGGATTCGAACTTTTTCACAAGAGTTTCTTCAGCTTTGGTTTTATGTAGGGGTTCTATAACTTTGCTTTGAATTTTTTCTTTATAAACAGGTTCTCCGACTTTGTTTACATTCGACAGGGACAGGATGCTTAGACTGTTGGTGTTGAGCTGGCTGGTAGAGTTTAGATGAGTCACTGAGTCAAGGTTTGACATGGAATCAAGATTTGACAAGACAGATCCTTGACTGTTTCGATCCTTTTCTAACTTCTGAGATACTTGACGCTTAAACTCCTAAGAATAGTAAATTATGAAAGATATCAAACTATATATAAATGGCTAAACACAATTCACAACGGTACCCTTTTAATATTTGTATGAGAAACAATGTGAAAGGCAAAGACGTTTATCTAACTTGAAAAGTGTTAAGCTCTTACAACATTCGCCTTTGTTTCTGTAGCAAAAATTCCGCAAGTCACTTTTATAAAGAAACAAAAATTGAAAAAAAGTTACTTAAAAAAGCTTGAATATTTAATTTTTTTCTGGATAACACAGAGATTTATGGAGACCGTAGCGAATCAGACATTTTATAAATGAATGGTCACTTGAAATTCCAGTTCTTTTATGTAATTCGTAACTAATGAAAATATGAGAAAGTTGAAATTCGTACTTCTCTTACCTGTAGCCTTGACAGTTTAGAAGATATTGTTTCCTGTTGACTGGACCAAGCAGAGAACTTATTCTCCTCACTCATTGAACAAGGTTCATCTAGCTCTGGGTGCACAGAATCTATGGTGGCAGGAGATTTACTAGGAGATGGCAGAGCCTGTGATTGAGCAAGAAGTTCTTTCTCTTTTTCTGCATCATCGTGTTCCATCTGTTTCATTTCCAGAAGAAAATCAGACTAGTGAAACAGTCAACATTACTTAAAAATCAGACCAGGGAACCGGTAAGGATCATACGGAAAACGAAACGTGGAAATCAGATTCGGCATAAATAATAGAAAATCTACAAGTCAAACTAAGAAACCATCATACATTAAAAATCAGACTGGAAATCATGGAAAACACAATAAAATAATAAATATTTACCGATGTGAACATGTTTAAACTGTGGAACATATCTCTTGTATTGTTGTAATGCACAACCCCTTTCCGAACCCACTTAGATAAACCGTTCACATAGCGCTCATTCTTCTTGTACCTAGAAAATACAATTCAAATACGTGATGTCATATGAAGATTATAGATTGGAATTCAGAGAGGAATTAAAGGTAGTCTATGAGTTTGAATCAATAAGTTAAAAGAAGTGTACGTCTTGTGGGCTTTCCAAACTTTGACAGAGGCATTTGTTCTAAAATCCACTAACCTATCGTCAACCATGAGAATAGCTCCCCAATCCTTCCTGTGTCGGATACACCGGCCCAGAGCCTGGTTCAGTGCCCTAAAAGCCTGGATCTCATACCATTCTCCTCCACTCAGCACATTCCCGTTCCCCCCACTCCTCTTCCTATCATTGTACTTCTTCTTCAGATCAACCAGGGAGTCCTTGATGTTAGGGAAGGGGATCCCCACACAGATAACTCCTCTAGCGTTGTTATCAGCAAAATCTAAACCTTCACTAACCTTACCCCGGCATACAGCTAGGAAGAGTGCTCCGTCCTGACCGGATTCTCCTGAACCGTTGTTTGCCGCCACAGCGTCGTAAAACTCTCGCATGACTCCGTCCAGCTGGTCGGAGAACCTGTCAAGAGAAAGAATATATTATATTGGTTGAAAATCTCAAAACCAACGATAGCAATGTGATGTGCAATTTTCGTGTCTTTAAATGATTTCCCTGAAAAGCAAGACATTTTAATTTGAGTGTTTTAAATTTGCAATTTTTCCTAAGCCTGCGTTTTTTTCGCTTTCCCAAATGTCATTGGTATATTCATCCTTAATCTAAAAACGGCTAGTAGATGTCTTTGTACAATTATCAAAAGTATGGATGGTATTTTTATTGTTTATTAATACAAAGTTGAATACCTGGGTTCCCGAACTATAGTTTTCTTCTCTAGTATCCCGGCCCAGGTACCTGTAGCCTGCCATCTGTTAACCATGTTGTCCAGCATCTTGTAGCTGGGTAGGAACACCAGAATACCGTGGGGGATATTCCGACACATACTCTCCACTAGTTTGCCAATCTCATCCTGGAACGTTAGCGTCTCAGTGTTCCTGTAGGTTGCGTTCAGGTTGTGCCCGGTGGGTCCGTGACTCAGGGTCCCAACCCAGACCTGCTTACGATCTATCACGTGATCAGCCTCCAATGTGATTGGAAACTTGACGTCCAACTCCGATGCAAAGGTTACAATGGGTGAAAGGGTTCCACTAGTAAGAACTATACTCCGACATATGTCCTTCAGTTCGTCAAAACAAACTGCAGGGTTTAAACACCAGAAATGCAAGTTAATCACATTGACCAGAGCATTCTCTCCTTTTCCCATCCAACCCTTTCCTGCTCCACCCTTCTTCCTAGCCTGGGATCGAACCACGGCCATCCTATAATCATCTCTGTAAATAGATTCTCGTGTATTCATATACTCGAGCAACATAAAGATTCCGTCCAATACATCTGTAGCTTTCTTAGAAAGAATCAGTGTATTCTCCTCCCCAGCCTCCTGCTCCTCGGTAGCTGCAGCTTGCTCCTTGAGCGCATCCTCCAGCATACTCTTGACAGCTGTATAGTTAGATGGAGCAAACACCATCTCATTCCATTCCGCTATACCACTAGTTCCGGTCCAAACACGAGAACTGGAGTTGAAATCACTATAGTCAGGTTTACTATCAATGCATTTCTGCATCCAGTTGGCCAGCCTGCTACAGAAATCCGCTAGTCCACTGTGAACCTGCTCCAAGATCTTAAACCCAACCATCTTCTCACACTCCTGCATCGCGATGGCAATATCGTCGATGTTAAAACTTCCACTGACAGCGTCTCTTGCACTGTCCTCTATATTATGAGCCTCGTCAAGGACGACAATCTGGTTTTTGAGATTAATCTCCATACTTTTTCTAATCTTAGGATCAACCAAGTAGTTGTAAGGACAGATTACAAGCTGAGCAGTACTTCGTAGTTCTCTTACTGAGAAGTAGGGACAGCATTTTACCTTCTTCCCAACCTAAGAGAATAAATCGTTTAACAAAACTTAATCTTGAGGGATTTGCGTATTAGACTTACATCAATGTATTTAAAAATCTTTGATATACAAAAAGTACAACTTAACTTTGCATAACATTTTTGTGAATGTGAAACTAATGGTCTGTAAACCAGAGAGTTAAAAACCAGGGATATTCTAAAACCATCTCCAATTGATTAAATAAAAAATGTATGTATTGGAATTTTTTAAAATAAGAAATAAGTCAAAATCTCATCTTTGGGCCCTGTCAGGATATCTCTGAGTAGACTGCTTACCTTGACAATATCCTCAAGGTCCCAGGCATTTTCGTGTCCGAGATGGAACCTCAGGCTATAGTGGGACGCAAGCTTGGATTTCACGTTCATCTGAAACCTAAAAAATAGATAAGGGTCGAACTTTTAACCTCTTGTATAAGTGTGTGCTTTGCCTAGAGCACAGCTCATAAATAAAATCCCTGAATCGATTTGATTTACTTGATTTAATTTCCCGAAAAGTATTTTACTTTCCCTTTTAAATAGTATAAATGTAACACTTCGAAAAATGTTTTATCTGGAAAGTATTTGGCACTCAATTATATAAAACCTAACACCTAAGATGGTCTCCCGATCATTCTCCAACCTCCTGAATCTATCCTTAATATTCTTCTCACCTGCATCCACCTCCTTTCTTCTTATCCATGAGCTCCTGGCAGTCCTGGTTCTTATTAAAGGATCGACTAATGGTTGGATGAATACAAGTGTGCTCTCGGGATCCAAGGATCGTCATCCTTACTCCGGAGTAAGCAGTCTTATTCAGCTCCCTGATAACCATTAGTCTTACCAAAATATTCTATTCCAATTAATTACAATTTTTCAATTTAAATAAAAGTAAATTCCAGTTTTCTCTTATGTAATTTACGCGTTGATCTACTTTGATAACCATTGTTTATTTTCACTCATCTCGGGCTTTTTCATTATTCATTGAATGTGTTTGACCTTAAAACTTTACTATAATTTCAGTGCAACAAATTTAATGTAATAATAAACAATGGTAGCCATGAATACTGACAAAAAGTTTGAGTTACAAAATATTATTTAGACTAATGAGGTTCCTAACGATCTGAGAAACCTGCTTGTGTGTCCTCGTTCCAAAGAATATTGTTGGAACCTTCTGCTTCTTCGGCATACGGAGAAGATTACAACCCGGAGCTAAACCAGGAACATCTCCAGCTGGTAGATGGAACCCTACAGAGTTCTCATCAGGACCATTAGTTTTCTGACGTTTAGCACTTGGTTCGGCAAAATCATCCTCATCAGGATCTAAAGGAACATATCAAAAAAGCTCTGAACTAAAATCAAGAACTCTCTCTATTTCTAAAGTGATGTGCCCAACTCACAACGGCACCCTTTAAATTCTGACAATTTCCCTTCTTGTTATTGCTGCATAAATCCGCAGGTTATCTCTATACTTAAAATAAATCGCATTTGAAAATAAACAATTTTCAAAAAGAAAAACAAGAATATTTTAATTATAAAGGTACCGTGGTGACTGGTGAATCAAGCATGTAACTCTCAGAATTGATGGCTTTTCATATTCTTCGATAGTCCTTTGGCCTTGAGGGAAAAACACATGTGCTAAATAATGATTTTAAACCTGGAATAAATCCTCCCCCCTCGCCAGCAGCTTGTAGTTTAATCAAATCAGATGCAGTGCTCTCAGTATTAAACCCTGTTCCTGATAATCCAACCGGTTCATCCTGGAACAAAATAATCCAATAATTATATTAATAATATTAAAACAATAAATACAGTCTTTAGTCTGTAATTAGCAAGATAGCAATGAAAGACTAAGCTTGGATGGAATAAAAATATTATTAAACGGTGGCCGAATTTAAAGAATTTAAGCGGCGGTTTAAATTTAAGCCGCGGTTTAAGTATGGTTGGTTCCACTTAAAATTGTATCAAATGTTTCAATATTTAAACCGGCGCTTAATTTAAAAAGGGTTTTGGCGGATTTAAACCGCGGCTCAAATTCTTTAAATTCCATCTCGGAAACAAATAAATTTTTAAGAAATTATAAAATAAAAGCATTACGAAAAGAGATCTGAAAGCCTCCGTCTTTAAGAACCCAAAATAAAACTTTAACTAGCTTCATGTAATTTTCTAGCTTTGTATTTGTATCCCCAAAAATATCAATTATTGTTTTAATAACATTCATCAATATTTCTGTACAGCGCGCACTAAAGGCATGTGAACAGTAAAGATTTAAAATTGTGGTAATTGATTTCTTTTGCAAAATATGGTTTTATGATTTTGATCAAAGCTGTCCCAGAGTGTCCCTACCTGCATTTCTACACCAGGTCCGGCCATTGACAGCAGCGCATCTCTTATCGCGGGATCCTATATTGTTTTTAACATTATTTATCTAGGAACAATCTACGCTAAAAAATATGTTTCTTTCTTTATTGCTGTTATTGTTGTCCATTATTATTATTATTATTAAAGGACAACCCATCATTCAATGAAATAGGGGTCGGCGCTCCTAGCCGCCGAAACGTATCCATGGGCTGACCGAACTTACTGTAGCAAAAATAATTTGGTAACCTGACAAGGTTATTTATATATACTATATATTTTCAAAATAATTCACTTTCGATGTCTTGGAGAAATAACGAAAAATTCGAAATTAAAAGGTATGTTTTTTTGACTCGTTTTGATGCTTGTCACCCAAAAAATAATTTTCAAAATGGGTGACGGGGTGGAACTGGAAAAGAATGATTATTAAAGAAAATATGTTTCACCTGATTAGCTGTTGCTTGCTCTAGTAAACTATTAAACTCTGTTACTCTCTTCTGTTCAGTTTCCTGCCAGGCTAGCGAGGCACACAGTAAAGCCAGAGATTTACCAGAACCTGGATAATCAAATTAAAAATAGTGAAAACTACACATGTGCTTATTTTTCTTATTTTCTTTAATTCTGTCAAGTATAAACAAATGAAAATAGGGAATAAATACCAAACTCAACAAACAAATTACATAAAAAACTGAACACTTTCACCAATACAACTTAGGTTTAGAGAACTATACATACATTTATTTCACTAAGTTTTAATTATAAATATAACATATGTAGTTTTTTTAATCAAGTTTATATGACACAAACTGACTAAGGAACAGAGGCTTAAGCTTTTGCTTGCGCTTTTTCCCATTGGCTCATCTTGATATCCACAGCGTGAACTTTAAGTTTGATTCTGGGGATTAATACAATTACAGCCTGAGACAATAACAAATTGAATTGAATAGACAAAGAGACTTTGGACAGGGATAAGAACCGATTGAGTTTGTTCCGAAATATGTCAGCTTTGGTCTCAGTTTAACTCTTGTTTTATCTAAAAATAAACTATACGTAATCCTAACCTGTTGGGGATTCCAAAAGTGAGTTCTGACTGCGCTGTAAACTTAGAATAATCTTGGACATCATCGCAATCTGGGATCCATAAGCTTTAGCAGGGAATTTAACCTAAATAATCAGAATCTCAATACATCTCTCTTCATAAAAAGAAGAAAAAATCATTTAAATTTTTAATTTCTTAATTAAAGAATCTTCCGGCAACCAACTGTTCTTTCAATGTAAGAAAGGAAAAAGGTTATTTAATTAATTTATAATTATATCAATAAAAACAAATAGAAAAATCTATTTATTTCTTTTCAGAACATGGATATTGGATCAGAGTATTGCGAGGAAAAAATTTAGATTTGTTTTAATAAACTTTAAAGAGAAAATCAGAGAATTAAACAGAATTTAAAAAATAGAAGCTGCTCATTATGTCAGATATCAAATAAAAAAGAAAGTCCGTAACATCTAAAAAAAATATTAAGTCCGTTACAATGTAAAAAAATATTCAGACTCCCTTTCTCAAAATATCCTGAGAATAATAATAAAAAAAATCTTTTTCAACTTTTTTGTCAGGTTCTCCACTCCTCCCCCCATTCCTTCCAACAGTTCTTAATCTCAATTTTCTTCGTGCCCTCAAAAGGCTAACTTAAAACTGTTTATTTTAAAAACGTATTTAAATAGGACTTTGAAGAAATCCAAAAATAATCATGACTTAATAAAAAGCTAGATTGGTGAGCTAGTTTAACTTGAAGAGAAGAGGTTCAACTTTGTCTACTCGGTTCAACTGATTTTTTTCTTTTGATTATCTGGTCTAACTACATTTAACTATTCTTTTTTGTAGAAATTTTACCATTTATAATATCTATTGGCTATTACTATATTTTTAATAATAAAGGTAACCTTGCAGCCCGATATGGTCAACTCCGTCGGGGTCAGCATTGTCGTCTTCCGCCTCCTCAATAGTTTCTTAATTTCATTTCATCTTCTGAAGTTTAGAGAAAGTATAAAAATGAAATGCGTTAAGCAAGGAATGATACATTTAATAAATACTTGATTGCATAACTCATCAATATTTAAATTGGCACGGTTTGTAACGTTCAATTTGGTGAGATTTCTTTTAGTTCCTTACGTTGGAAATTGAATAGCAAAATATTAACAGTTGTGAAAAACGTGGGCTAACAAGGAGAGAACAATGTACATATTTTACAAGATTGGCTCATTGTGAATTTAAATTCATCATTGGACACTATACTTAATCTGGTGATTCCTTACTTTTATACAAATGCTACAGTATGAGAATCGACACTATGATCCTATATTATTCCAATAAGTGATCCCCTTCGTTAAAACTGGCGTTCAATTTCCATTGGTTCGTGTTCAGCATCATGTTCATGTTCAGCTTCGAGTTCAGGTTCAGCTCCTAATTCAGGTACAGCTTCATGTTCAGCCTCAGCTTCAATTTCAGCTTCAGCTTTAAGTTCAGCATTAGCTTCAAGTTCAGCTTTAGCTTCAAGTTCAGCTACAGCATCAAGTTCAGCTTTAGCTACAAGTTCAGCTACAGCATCAAGTTCAGCTTCGGTTTCGAGGTTCTCCTCTTCGTTCAAAATCTCTGAAGATTCAACATGTAATTCTCCGTGATTGAGCTCGGCTTCCTCATCAACTTCACCATCTACACCATCGTATATATCCGTCCCATTCTTGTGTTGCTCCTCATCCAAGTGTGCAACAACTGCGTAAACCTCGCTAGAGACAAATTCTCCGCCTTCTCCTACTTCTAGTCCCTCGGGTAGCTCTGCAACCTCAAGATCCATCTCCTTGTACTGCTCCGGGTAGTAAAGTTTAATAAGGTTTTCAACAGGAACCTCGGCATCATTCTCCAGCATATTGATTTCATTGTCCTTGTTCTCATCTTCTCCATCCTTCTCATCTTTCTCAATAGTTGCTTCATCATCACTTCCACTTCCATCCGGAGCATAATCCTCCTCTTCCGTCTCATCTCCTTCTTCATCATCCACATCATTGTTTTCTTCCTCCTCCTCGTCTTCACTAGACTCATCACCAAGCTCCTCTCTGATCTCCTGAGTTAACTCATCCATCTTCTCAGCATCAAATTCTTCTTTTCTAGCCTCAATCTCAGCCTGAGCAAAATCTAACTGCTCCTGAACCCAACCTTCCTCCTGCCACTCCAGGTGGTGCAAAGCGTAGACCTCAACTTTACTTAGTTCGGAGAGGACAGCCTGGAACTGATCATCTTCAGTCTGTTCGTTGAAATCTTGTTCATCTTCATTCTCTTCAGCTCTAGCAACCCTAGTTGCTTGTCGATCAGTATCATCCTCAGCAGTAGCCAGAGCAGTTTCAAACACTCCAATGGATTTTTTTGGAGCTTCAGCTTCAGTTTTCTTTAGATCCTCATTGGTTGCAGATGATGTTTCCTCAAACAAATCATGAATAGTTTGTTTTTTAAAGAATGCAGTTGTAAAGTTTCCTCCCTCGATCGCTAGATCTCCGAGCAATCTTTTCTGATTTGCTTTCTTTAGGATGTTCTCCTCAACCGTCCTCTCACTGATCAACCTGTAGATGTGAACGTCCCTGGTCTGTCCAATCCTATGACATCTATCCTGAGCTTGAGCGTCCATGGTTGGGTTCCAATCACTGTCGTAGAATATAACTGTATCAGCACCTGTCAAATTTATCCCAACCCCTCCAGATCTAGTTGACAGGATAAAGATAAAGTACTTGTTACTGTTGTTAAAGCGTTCCATCAAAGCCTGTCTCATCTCAACCTTCGTGGAACCGTCCAGTCTCATGTAGACATAGCCGTGGTAGTTCAGGAAACTCTCCAGAATATCCAACATCTTGGTCATCTGAGTAAATATTAAGGCTCTATGTCCCCCTGTATGAAGTGTCCGAAGAAGAGAAGAGAGAACCTGGAGTTTACCGCAGTCATATTGGATCAACCTTGTATCAGGAGTTTGAACCTGAAACCTTGAGATAAGGAAATCACCGGGAAACCGTTTATGTTTAGGATCATCATCCTGGTTGGATAAGTCTCTCCTAGCCGCAGTCCAGGTCTTTGGAACATTGATAAGAAATCTATCAAAAATTTGTGTGATTCTAGCAACTGCAGAGTCCATGGTTTGTATTAGTCTATGACTACTATAGCATTTAATCTCCTGTTTATACGGGTTTATTTTAGGCCGACACGTTAACTGTTCTAATCCTGTTCTTAGTGCTTCTCTAGGGATAAAACACATTTGTTGTATAGTCTCCACCAACTCACTTCCATATAAGGGCAAAAACTCACATCGTCGGTTGTTTAACGCAAAATTTCTTTTTCTGCGGCTAATTATAAACGCGTCTTTGGCAGAGATGAAACTTGGTAGATTAAGTTCAGCTTCTCTTGCCTTGGCTTCTAGTCGACGTTTCTTTGCCTTGTTTGGAGATTTGGCCGCTAGGGTTAGTTTCTCCGATGCAAATACACCAAGGCTAAATATTCCCTTAGCCGTTCGTTTATTGTTTACTCGTGGAATCTTTCGACGCATAATTTCCTCGGGTTCCTCTACTTTAGTTTCCTTTGGAGTTTCTTCTGGTTTCTTTGCTTCAAGTTTCTGAACCTTCCGGGGTGGAGACCAGAGAGGGAAATCTTTTTCATTATCAACCTGGGACGCAGCAGATATTTCTACTCTAGGTACCTTGGCAATCTGGAAATAGCCGGACGGAGTTTTCAGCTTATGTCCGTCCTGCCACAACCACATATCCTTGTTGGAGAGGTTGCGCGCTGGTATAACGTATCCTATTCCGGTCTGCTGTAGGTGAAGTACAGGTGACTGAAATTCTATTTCTTGTTTAGGGACGGGAGGGTTTTGAGTTTTCACCTGAAATCTCATCTTGTTGCTAGGACACATTAGTTTAGAATCGGAGGAGGGTGGATGCAACATTCTCCGGTTAGAACACTTGAGACTACTGGTGCGGAAGGACGTGTAAGGATCAATATTCATCTCATGGTGGATCAGAAGAAGGGGTGACGAAGAGAGATCAATATCTTTCCAAACATTGTAGTCCCGACAGTGGTGGACAAGTTTAGGAAACTGGAAAGTAACTGCCTGCATTACAAACGGTGATAGAGTTGGACGTGGTTCAAAGAGATTTGGATGATTACAACATTTACGTAGCTGCATCAATACATTGATCACAGAGAGTAGGTTTCCACTGGACAACGTCTCTTTTGTCTTTGCCCTTGACATAAAATCATCATAGAGAAATCTTTGACGTTTAGATAGCGGACATTTTACAAGATGCTCATACTTCTTAGGCAGCTGTTTCTCGACCTCGTTCTTTAATCGTCGAAGAATGAACGGACGGAGAACCTTGTGTAACCGTTTGATCAGATTATCGTTGTACTCGTTGTTCCCCTCAACCATCCCAGTCAGAGGGTTGGAGAACCACTCCTTGAAGTCCCTATGGGATTCGAAGACGTGAGGCATGAGGAAGTGCATGAGGGACCAGAGCTCCATGAGATTGTTCTGAAGCGGAGTTCCAGTGAGAAGAAGACGACCTAGAGATGCAAAGTTCAGTAGAAGCTGCCACCGTTGAGATTTAAAGTTTTTAATGTGTTGCGCTTCATCCAGGATAAAGTATTGCCACTTAAACCTTCTGAAACTACTGTGATCCTGAATAACCAGCTTATAGGAAGTGATGCAAATATGAAATGCATTGGGTTTAGTCCAACCCACTCTCTTCATCTTACGCTCCTTCTGACTACCAAAGTACACCATGACCTTGAACCCAGGACACCATTTCTTTATCTCCATCTCCCAGTTGAGCATGACGGATGTTGGAACAACGATAAGATGAGGTCCCCAGTTTTCGCGATCCACCGCCAGGTGTGCTAGTAGTGCTATAGTTTGAATTGTCTTTCCTAATCCCATCTCATCTGCTAGGATTCCGTTCAAACTTCGCTCATAGAGAGAAACCAACCAATCCAAACCAATATGCTGATACTCACGGAGCGTATGTTTGAGGAGTGAAGGTATCTTAGTTTTAACAGTAGTTGTCTCAAGTGTGTTTCCAGTGGGTTGAAATTTAGCCGCCATACTTGCATATTCTTCTAGTTTATCCTCTCCTTCGACCAAAGATTTTATTCCTGGATCCTTCTCATCCTCATCAGTCGACTCATCAGACTCTTCCTTCACCTCCTCCTTTTCTTCCTCGACTTTTTCACCATTGGTTTTATCATCGTTGTCTGTGTCTTTTTCAGATCTCCCTTCTTTATTTTTATCTTTTTCGATTTTCTCATCGGTTGTTCTTACATTTTCTGCTTTCTCTTCTTCCAACTTTTCTTCTTTAATATCTTCTACTGGTTTAACACCAAGTTTCACATCTTCCTCGGCAATCTTTCTTTCAACCTCGGCAAAATCCACAGGTTTCCTTCTCCGTCTACTCCCAGAGCTTTCAGTCTCATCCTTAGTTATCTCCTCTTTTATCTCAGGTTTGGGATCGGAGTCTGGAAACTGGTCTGGATAATATTTACGGAGTAGTTCCTCAATAGGAACCTCAGCTCCCTCCTCCAACTCCTCGAGTTCCTGTTCTCTCTTGGTGTCAGGTTCACATGTCTCCTCCTGGTCAATGGTTTCCTCATCATCACTACTTCCACTTTCCGGGTTGTATTCTCCGTCTCCGGCAATATCTTCCTCAGTGTCTCCGCTACACACACTCTCAGCTCTACTAACCTAAAGAGAAGGTTTTAAAAATCGAAAAAATTATGCACAAAGATGTATTTTTTATCTTTGTCCTTAAGGTCCCCTTTCTAGGGGGCACAGTGTTTCCAGGGCCGGTAAAAATTCAAGTTTTGACCCCTCAGAAAAAAACTAATTTTATTTTCTAACAATATGTTGAGAACCAGAACAAAAAGAGATTTAAAACAATTTTATTCCTTTCAGGGTTGAGAGAGCAGTTCAAAGTTGAGCCAATAATTAAAAAAAATATTCTGCTGAAATTAATAATTTCTTGCGTTGTTCAAAATCCTGTGTGCGAAGCTTAATTTTCACGAAGAACAATGTTTGATCACTTAATAGTTATTATGAATAAAAAGAATTTTAAAAATTGTTTTCAATGTTTCTTTCCGAAGTGAATTTTTTATCACAATTTTTTTCATTTTTTACTTATTTTTAAAATGGCGGAAAGATACCAAACGTGTTTGTAAGCCTTAAAATTAATATTTTTTGAAGGTTTGGCTCATTACTTAACAGAAACAACAAATTGCCTTGCAGAATGTTCCAGATTTCTTATCATGTTTTAAAAAAAACTTTAAACAAATTTCAAAATGGGAAAATTCAAAACAGACTAGTGCAACGGTCTGAGGGCAGTTAGGTCAATTTTGGAATAAAAATCTGAAATTTCCACTAAAAATGGGCTTAGCTAGCGTTTTTCATTGAAATATATGCACCAACAAAAAAGTTCTGGACACACTGTGGGGGGGGGGGGGCTTTTTTCAAGCGATTTAAATTTTTTACATTCTCAAAATTTCTCTTTAATATATAAATTCAGCGATAAAAATCCCATCTACAAAAAAATCATGTCGCCAACCTGTCCGCTCACATTCTCCGCCAAACTCTCCGCCAGAAGTGTCGAGTATTTCTCCGTCTTATCGACTATATAGTTTAGATGCTGGTCCAGAGCTTCCTTCCTCTTCTTCTCCAGCTTTTGCTTTACCCTCCACTCAAACAGCTTCTGGGCGTTCCCCCAGAACACTTTCACCTCACGTGCCATGCCTGCAGCGATCTTTCGAAGATTTGCCTCGCGTGCTTTTTCCGCGCGCAGTGCAGAGAGTTCTTTGTCTTTGAAGTGCTTCTGAACCATAGCAGCACATTTGCGTGCGTTAGCTTTCTTGATTTTAACTTCCTTTTGAACAACCTATCAAAATAAAATAAATAAATTTCCGGTAATGGGACAAGTTCAAATTTTATAAGATAAACAGAACAGTTTTTTGGGGGGAAAATCTGCTTTTTCAGATGAACCTTACAAAATACGAAATTTCGACAGTAAAAAATATTAGAACTTCTGATATTTCATCTTTGGTTTATTTACATATCAAATCATATCAAATCAAATCAAATCATTTATTAATGCAAAAAAAACAATATTTTATGAATTTAATTTTTAATCACAATATAAAATACTATTTTCCGCAGCTTGCGGACTCAATAGCCTGGGGCTGTTTTAGCTTTAATTGATTTTAAAAAAATTTCAAAAAAACATACAGAAGAAATAATGAGTGTGCAGCATAAATCAAAGGTGGGGGATGGAGATAGAGAGGGATTCATAAAGTAAACAGAGAGTAATTAATATAATGGATTTTAATTAAGAACTTGGGCTCACAAGTAAACAGCAACTCCGACCAAGAAATTAAGTGGGGGGGGGGGGGGGGGTTAGATTAAATTGTTGTGTGGATCGCATCGGATCCTTAATCCGTCAAACGATAAAATGGTTCAGGATTTGTGTTTTGAGAAAAAGTTAGTAATGTTTATTTTGGATGATATTCTGTCACTTGGATTCGGTTCGGATCCAGAAAACAAAATTATATTTAATTTTTTCCTCCTTATGAATAGTATTAATTTCAAAATTTAAAATTTCATTAAGAAAATGTTGGGAAGAAAGCTGTTTTTGTTTAACTAACTTAAAAAGTTAAAACATGCTTATTCTAGTATGTCAATATAAAAATGAACTGTAAAAACTGTTTGTTTTTAACCATAATACGGCAATTTTGAAAAAGATAATATTTCGAAACCTGGGAAAGGGGTAAGGGGGTGGGGTTGGACACTGGATACACTTGGTTCCTATAAGCAAATAAAACTTACATCTGAGAGCCAGGTCATCTCTTCCAACACGAAGTCCCAGTGCACTTTAGTTTTGGGTTCAGTAGCTCCCTTGGGGATTTTCTTGTCTACCCACAATCCTTTGGCCTGAAATAATGTCGAGTTATCAATATTCCAATACCATCTGGTTCGGCATGTTTTTATCTGTTTTAAAGTTCTTATGTGACTCTTTAAAAATGTGAGAAGTTTAACATATTTTAACATGAATGCTCTAAAAGATTCTATTTTTCATTATTCAAAATGTTGACTCAGCAGAAGATCTTACAAATCGTTCGCTATTCAATGATTGTTGTTTAGTTCAGGCCTAATTCTTTCCGTTTCTGTGAATATTTAGGATAATAGGATAATTTATTTAGTTCTGAAATACCTAAAGTTTCAATAACTGTGATTAAGTGACCCTTTTACTCCCTCCTCTCCATCTATCCTTACATTAAGTCCTGTGTCGTATCCCATGCTATCTACAAGTACCTTGAGTTGTTGAACCCGTTTGAGTATCTCCGATTCATGAACCAACCTTCCCTTCAGTCCGACTCCAAACTTTTTCTTCTTTTTCTTCACTAAACTTACAACGCTTCCGTCCTCCTATTTTAAAACTGTTAAGGCGAATCTTGGTAATATCTATATGTGCCAATTCTATTTATTCAAATAATATACTTACAAAATTAAAAAAATTAAAATGTAATGGGGGGGGGGGGGAGGGGAATAATGCAGACTATTTTCTCTTTTTTAACTGACTATTTACTTTTTGATAATTTATTCCCGAACTCTTCAAAAATAAACTTTTTTTCTAGAGAGGGGATTTTTTTAAGGAGGGAAAAATTAATTTAAAAAATATTTGCCCCTGATTACCTTTTTAGGAGAAGCTGAGCCACCAGATCCATGTCTGGGACTTCGACTGTTTTTTGAAGGACTTTCAGCAGAACTTAAACATTAGTTTTTTTCAAATCGAAAAAAAATAAACCGTTTCGAAAAACATGCATTTAAAAAATTTAAGAGTGCTGGAAATATTAGACCTTGATTCAGACAAATGTAGAAATTAATAAGTTTTTACCCAATTGATAATTCGGTGCCACTCCTTGTTACTCTGATCTCTTCAGAATTTTTTGTTATCTCATCTTCTGAACTATCCCGGACTCGTCGTCTTAGTCTTCCATCCGAGCTGGTATCATGTTTCCGGGATCTTGTGTCAGGTGAGCTCTCAGTCATATCCCGGTTCGTCTCATCACTCCTAGTATCCTTCAAACCCGGAGATCTTTCTCTAGTTCTTCGTGGTTCTCGTCCTTCTACTGAATCCTTTGCTTGTCTAGTTAATCTTGGTTCAGAAACCATATCGGATAAAGGTTTGGATTCCTCTGTTGAGTTTTCTCTAGTTCTTCTAGATTTTTCCTCTTTTGATGATTCTGGTTTTTCTTTTGTTGAAGAATCTCCAGTTTGCCTTGTTCGTCTTGTTTCGATTTTGTCTTCTTCACCGCTTTCGACGTTTTTATCTTTCTTCCTTTCTAGTTCTTTCTTTCGTAGGGGTTTAACATCCTTAATATCCTGGCTAGACCGCGTTTCTCTGAGTTCAGAACTGTATCCTTGTTTAACATCTCCTAAACTTCGTCTGGATCTCACGTCAGGGACGGATTCATCCCTAGCATTGGTCGAAACTGATTCAGATCCTCTTGTGGATCGGGATGGAGACGCTTCCGCATTTTTCTTACTCTGCAGAACTGGTATTGACGCAGTTCTCTTCGTTATCCGTCCTTGAGGTGTGTTTTCAGCAGTTCGTCTGGTCAACCGACCCTCTGGAGTACTATCTCGCCCACTCCTGGTTTGTCGAACATCTTGGGATTTAAAATCTTTTGATTTATCCTTGTCTAAACCAGTCATACTGCGCCCTCGCCGGGTTTCTCTTGTATTAGAAACTCCAGGTTCTTCTCTGGGTTCAGCTCCTATATCTTTCTTTGTGGAGTCTATTTTTGGGAGATTTTCTTCCTCATCCGGTCTTAAAACCATTTCTAGAAACCCTCCCTGAAAGTTTTCCTCTTCAGTATCAAAATCATCAATCTGTGATGAACTGGTTCCGTCGACTCTCTCAAGGCGAACAGAGACAAGTGAAGAGAGCTTCTGATCACAGTTTTTATTCTTCTCAGTTTCCTTCTCATCCTCAGAATCTTTTGCTCCTTCACTGTCAGTCCTGCAAAAAAATTAAAATGCAAATCATTCATATTTTGTGTTTAAATTAATAGCCCCTCTGGCCTCTCCCAGTATAAGTGACCAAATCAAAACAAAAATAGACGTTTTAGTTTAAAAAATAAAAATCTTACCCTAATACTTCAGATATCCCGTCCTCCTGCGAACCAACCTTGTCCAGATGAGCACTATCAACTTCATCTTTACTAACTCTTGATGGATCTTCTATTATGTTTCCCTTTTCCTTTACAGATTCAAGAGAATCTACCGGGTTTTCACACGATGCGTCCGTACTCATTTTATCATCCTCAGATCCAACCCTACTCCGAGATTTATCTTCTGATCCAACCCTACTCCGAGATTTATCTTCTGATCCAACCTTACTCCGCGGTTCATCTTCTAATTCAACCCTACTCCACGGTTCATCTTTCGATCCAACCCTACTCCGCGGTTCATCTTCTGATTCAACCTTACTCCGCGGTTCATCTTTCGATCCAACCCTACTCCGAGGTTTATCTTCTGATCCAACCCTACTCCGAGTTTTATCTTCTGATCCAACCCTGCTCCGGGATTTGTTTTCTGATCCAACCTTACTGCGTCTTTTCAGTTCACTTTGTATGACCTGGTCTGAACCGACTCTATTCCTGATGGTATCTTCTAATCCAATTCTCCCATTTTCGGTCTCAGGTTGCATATCTAGTTCTACATCTTCAGGTTCAGTCCTACTTTCGGATTCGTCTTCTAATCCTTCACTTTTATTTGATTTAGTTTCTTTATTATCACTAGAACTATCTGAATCTGTTCTTGTACTAGAGATCAACGAAGTTCTCCTCGTCTCTAGTTTCTTAGGTTTAGTACTGGAGATATCCAGGGAACTTCTCCTGTGTTTAACTTTGCTCCGTCTTGATTTATTTTCTTCGGCACATTCATTGTTAGTTTCCACCCGTACTTCTAGAAAACAAAAACATTCAATTTACAAAGAGAAACTTTCTTAAAAATAAAATTTTGTTTCAGAAGTTAGGTTTTATGCATATTCTAGAACTAAATCATCTATAACCTTCCACCCCCCTCTCCTCAACCCCCTCAAGATAAAGCTACTAGAATAAATGCTTACGTTTCTCCGGGGATTCTGGAATGATATTCCATGCGTTGGCAAGCTGGAGAATAACAGAGGTGAGAGAGTTTGATCTATCTTGTTTCACCTCACTTGTATCATATCCAACCAAACTATCCTCCTCAGAACTCATCCTGCACTCCGTCCTGCTAAATCCTCTTGTTTAGTTCATTTTGATTCTGAAAAAAAAATAGAAAATTTGTGGCAAAAAAATGCTAGACGCTGATTGTTTTGAAAACATCAAAGCCCGTGTGTGAAGTTGCGACAATAAGGCCAGATATTTTCGAGTGCCAGTGAACCTCTTTTATATCTTGTAAACCCTGATAAGAAATAAACCTTACAGTTTGATCATTAAAACATTTAGTTATTAAACTGGAAACTGTCCATTATAAGGATTGTTAGGATTTAATAAAGGATAAAATGCAGGGTAAGAAAGAAGAATGAGGATTGAAATGAAGGAGATGGATATATCTCCAGGATAAGGAAAGGATTGAACTGAAGGAGATGGATATATCTCCAGGATAAGGAATAAGGAAAGGATTGAACAGAAGGAGATGGATATATCTCCAGGATAAGGAATAAGGAAAGGATTGAACTGAAGGCAAGGGTCGACACTAATAGGCCCACTGTAAAGGTTTCCTGGTGTATAAAGAGAAGTTGTGGAGGTAAACCCTTTAGTTTCTCATCTTCAGCTCCAGCTTCTGTATCTCTCTCTAGAGCTAGATCCCACAATGCAATCTGAATTCAGTTCAGAATGAAATAATTTTAATTTTACTATGTAAAGCCAAAATTACGCAATGTCGAAAAAAAAATTTATTTCTACCTGATCGTCCGCTCCACTGCTAGCAAACACTGTATTATCGTCTTTATGCCACTCTAAACTCGTCACTGGACTGGTGTGATGTTTAAAGGTTGCAACAGGGTCGGAAATACCGCCGAAACTTCTTAAATCCCAGACTTTAATAATTCCGTCGTCCCCGCCGGAAATGATAAAAGGATCACTTGGGTTCCAGTCGATCACGTTCACGTCTGAAAAATGCGCATTTCCCTGGGTTAACATGCAGGCCTGGCTTGGCTCAGCACGCACATCCCAGATTTTTATTGTTCTATCACAGGAGCAGGACGCCATCACACTTTTTTCATTCGGAGACCATCTGGGGACCAGGAGGATTAATTAAATGATTTTTTATTTGTTTTAATAATAATTTCTCAACAAAAATTTGTCATTTAAAAAAAGGAGTTATCTGATCAAAAATGAAGTTACTTTCAGCTCAGATTTCTCTTTAAAAATGACTTGCGCATTTATGCCGCAGATAATTAAGAAAATTGCTAAAATTAACAAAGTTTTTGCAACAGACTCAAATTTTTGTAATGCCAATATCTTTGCAACCTGATAGTGTAAACATTTTATATTCAAAAATTAACGAATGCTTGATCTAACAGAATTCATAGTTTGAAATATCATAGGTAAACGACATTGGATTGCAAAGATTTAGGGGTTAGAAAATCAGAGTTTGAGGCAAAAACTCAGTTCCTTCTCCCATTTTTAAGATAAAAAAGCGACAACATCTTACTTTTGTAACTCAGATAAAAGTTACGAATGTACATGTGATTCGGACTCTCCTATTCTTAATAGGAGAGTCCCTTGAAATTAAAATGTTGTTTAATGAATCCCTCCTGCCTTATATCTTCTACAGATCTTGTATGGGATGAGTATGGAGCTGAATTGATATTCCAAACTCCTCCCTCCGCTGGACTCCACACATGGATATTCTAGAAACAAATAAAGGAACTGAACACTTGCCGCAAACTCTTTTTTATAATCCCTATATCTTTACAACCAACCTGTAATACCTTGAGTATTAGATAATAGATTTGTAATAAATATCGTAGCGTACAGACTTAAGAGAACTTTTTGGAGTTAGGCATTTGCTACAGATATATCAAAATTTACTATTTAAAGCATTAAAGGTTAACGACATCAGATTGCTAAGATGAAAGGTTTAGAAAATTTGAGTTTGTGGCAAGTGTTCAGTTCCTGCGTAAATTTCGTTGTATAAACCTGAAGTAGTTTACTTAAAATGAGAACTTTTAAATGATCGCCCCGAGTTTAATTAATTAGTAAATTATCTCTCATGTTCAAATGTCAGTGAATGGGATTGGGCCCCAGTGGGAGATCATGCACTCATCCCCCCTCCCCCTTGTAATATGGGGGTAAATGTTGATCTTGATCCAATATTTTGCGATGATTATTTTATGGAAGTTTTGAGGGGATTGGGGTTGAGGGATGCATGATACACCGAGAAGGCAGATACTCTCCCAGTAAATGGGATTGGGCCCCAGTGGTGGATTACGCACTCATCCCCCCTCCTTAATTTTTTGCAGTTGCAGTTTACTTTGAGCCCAAGATCTTACTTAAAATCAAATATATTAATTACTCTCTGTTTACGTTATGAATCCCTCTCTGTCTTCATGCCCAACCTTCGATTCATGCTGCACTGATTTTTCTCCTTAGTTCTTTTTGTGTATGTGTTTTTTTTTAAATGTTATCATTCAATTAAAGAATTTGGTTAACAAGGGGGCTCAGCTAAAACAGCTCCAGGCTATTGAGTCCGCCTGCTGCGGAAAATAATATTTTACATATTGTGACTTGTATAAATTAAATTCGTAAATATTTTTTTTTCAGAAATAAATGATTTGATTTGATTTGATTTAAAACTGGATCGTTTAATCTTCCCGTAATGAACACCAAAATTAAATAAGACTCGACAATACTATTCAGAGCTGGGAACTTTTGAATGGTGGATATCGGGATTAATGCTTGATCCACTCTTTTTCTTAATATCGAGATTGAATAAGGCTTGTTCTCCTCTTTTTTAAAATCTTTAGATTAGTTAACCGATCGGTATTAAGGATATCCCATTCTAAAGTTTTCAGCTCTGCAAACATACTACAAACCCCGTTAACTATCTAAATCTTGATAAAAGTTAAATGTTTATCTACCTTATTACAATCTCCTGAGGCTAGAACTCCTGATTCTGTCCCGCTCCAGTCTAGAGCAAACCCTTCTGTCCCGTGTCCTGAGAATGCCTGGAGCGGAGTAGTTTCCTCCTTGTAAACCTCCTTCCCTGGTAAATCTAGTCTGGAGAGAACATTCGTCAGGTTCCATACTCCAACAGTTCCATTCTCACCCCAGGCTGCAGCTACAGGGGTTGGACCTGATATAGTCTTGGTTTAGTTCAGCTAAAAATTCCTAATCAAGAGTTTGACAAGAGTTTATTTCTTTCTTCAGACATTTAAATAATAATAATAATAATTATAAGATCTGAAAATACAGGGAGTACTAAAGATTCAGGATAATTATTTACATTAACATCTGATGTTTCTGCAAAAACGATTCTCCATGTACATTATCGTACAAAAAAAAAACGGCCAGAACCAAGCTTTGTCTGTCTTCAAGTTGGCAAGGAGTCGGACACTTAAAAAGATAAATAGGATAGAAAAAAGTAGTCCCTTTTTAAACTTCAGATATTTTGTTAATTCCAAAATATAGACAAAAATGTAACAAAAGCACTAAAAAGTATACAAACTTCCATTTTGAGAAAACTATGACGAGAGAATAAATGTATTGGGAATAGACAAGATAAACGTTTTCCCCCTAGGTTATCTGCTGCTAGTGTTGCATGGTACATGACGATGTTAACTCACCTATCTTAGTGTATTTAACTCTATTGACACATCCTGCATGTTTTATCCCGGCCATCTTTAGGAACGGTTTCTCCTCTTCCGGTTCATCGATATCACTATCCTCGTCCTCATCCCTCGGACGGACACAGTTCAAGTTACTCATCCGGAATACTATAATGTTGTTTGCTGTCACCTAGCAGAGTAATTCAAACCTTAAAATATCATCAGATTAAACTTACGAATAGGATTGTAGTAGAAATTGAAGAAAAACTCTTCTACTCTAGCAAAAAAATTTAATTTTCCTAAATCAATCATTTACAGGAAAAGGTTTCATCAGGATTTTGCAAAAAATGTTTGGGCCAGAAATAATGTTTACTTTAAAATGTATCAAATAAACCCAAATGCAAGCAGTAAAAACAATGTAGGGACCCATGCCTATATGGAGGAAAGAAGCTTATTTAACAACAGCATCATAATAATATTAATAATGAATATTAAAATTTTGTCAAGGTTTGAATTCCTTAGCAGCCTGAGTACCAGCAACACATGTCACACTTAAAGGATAATCCTGCTTCACCTAAATTAAAGGGGATTTAAACAAAAATATTATTAAAAAATGAAATAAGTTCCTTCAATTTAAATTCTTGTTTTATTTGCTCACTGGTAAAAAAACAGTGGGGTTTATTAGTTTATTGCTTTCTCAATATTCCAACATCCATATTCCTTTAAAAAACCTAGTGAGAAAAAATCTAAACCAGTGGAACTGAACCCGTAGATCAAATTGTTAGTAATTAAATTCGAGAAACTGTACAGTGTACACAAAACATAAGAAAAAGAGCGATATTAAAGATAAAGCTGGGTTAAATCACTTCAAAATGTTTCCAACAAAACGTTAAATCAACTGACCGACTGGGTCCACAGTTTGTTTGGAACCTGGAGTAGCATAGCAGAATCTTTTCAGAGCCAAGTTTAGCTCAGAATTTATAATATGAGAACTCTACCCCCCCCCCCCCCCCCCCNGGGGGGGGGGGGGGGGGGGGTCAGACTGTACTTATTCCGAAGTTTTTTACAAAGCTGAACTGTACCTGATCGTGAATAATATCGAATGATAAACAAGGAGGTCCTAGGCTACACTGATGGTAAATATTATATGCATTTTCATCAACCTGAACAATTAAATAAATCAAAATCAAATTAAATCTTAATAATTTCTCAACGATGAAAGGATTGGAAAATGAAAATAAAAATCAATAATAAGTTTAATTTTTAGAGTGCCATCAATATCGATAATTCTTCGTTATTCTAACTAAAAATTAATCATCCCAGATTTTACAAAAAGTCACTCGTGGATTTCTACAACAAATAAGACGACTGCGAACTTTCGCTCGTCAGAAAGATCACCGACGAGATCTCGTTCATCGTTCAGTAAGTATAGGTTTAAAGGTTAATGTCGTGAAATTATGATAGAGTTAATTTACCGTCAGAGTTTCTCCCTCCTCAAGTTTATCTCCAGGTATATAAACATTATCCTCTCCATCATCATCATCACTAGAACTATCCTCAGCATCATCATCCTTATACAATACATATATAAACATTATCCTCTCCATTATCATCATCACTAGAACTATCCTCAGCATCATCATCCTTATACATATATATAAACATTATCCTATCCATCATCATCATCACTAGAACTGTCCTTATATAGAACATTATTCTCCTTGGATCTACCTGGAGCTATCCTAGATCAATCTGGAAAAATCTAGATCAATCTAGATCAATCTAGATCATTCTAGATAAATCTATCTGGATATTTGAAAATTACCTCATCTTTCTGTGGGACCTGTCTTGCCTCTTCATCCTCGTCAACCTCCATGGTCGGATCCTTGCTCATCTTTTATCTGCAATTAATGATTACAATACAGAGACATCTAGTGTCACGAAGATCTAACTAGGATTACATATTTTATCAATGTGTCCGTTGTACATAGTGCATTGTATTGTGTACAGTGTACACTAAGGGATTGTTACGAAAACATAATAAACATATTCTATTAGCTTTCTTTCTTTCTTTAGTTTGATTTCCGGTTAATTGCATATTCTAACGGAAGCGTCAATACTTTCTTGAAAAACTTAGTATAATTTTAATATAATTTTAATCATTAAGATCAAGTTCGTCGATTTCTGATAAAGCCAATATGAATAACTTTTCTGCTCAAAGAAATTTGATTAAGGGAGAAAAACTATAAAAAATGGAATATGAAGTAAACCGAGGTAAAATTTACTCTTGACTTGAGAACAAGATAATAATTATAACAGAAAACTTCAGAAGTTAAAACTGTTTTTATTCCAGTCCTACCAGAAACTATAAATTCCTTTTAGTATTTATAAATATTTGGGGCGGAGGATCTTGATCTTCACATTTCTTGCCTTGAAAAGTTTAACTTTAAAATTGAGATTTAAGTAATTAAACCAAATTTTGAAGTTCTGGTTTAAATTATAAAAGTATTTAACTACCCTTACGTGAACAATTTCTAGAATAACTATTTGTTTTTGACTGTCGGGTGTTTAGGTATTGCATTGAACATTTGAACAGGTTTGTTTGTAATACAACGTAGGTTAAAACTCTGAGAAATATTATGGCTAACATGGAATAAAATATCTAATAATAAACTCTTTAACACAGAAATAAAATGCTATCTATCACAATAACGAGTGAGGATTATAGTTAAAAGTTTTGTGTCAGAAATAATGAGATCATTAAAATATCAAATAAAGAAAAAAGTCAAATAAAATAATGAATGTTGCTATCCTTGGTGATGATAATGTAGATCATGTCTTGTCATTTACTTACATTTAAATATCTTTAGAGGGGTTAACAACAGAGTCTAGATTAAATACATTACAATACTTCAGAATATTTGGTTTTCATGATCAGCAGTTACATAAATAAATATTACAGATAAACCTCGTAAATTTGTTTGTTATATATAGGTTGTAGCCATGATTTGGAAATCCAAAAAAGTAAGGGGTACGGAGAGATAACAAGAATTTATTTCTAAGGTTTTAAAACTGCTCACTCAAATAGCTCTTTTTTAATTCATAAATATCAGACTTTTCAACCGGAGGATTACATCAGTTTTCTAAAAGACCTTCAGCTGTCTAGAGATCTTTCAGCTACCTAAATGACCTCTATCTACCTAAAGAGACTGGTTTTCTAACTGTCTGCTCCAACCTATTTCTTCTTGGATCTTCTCAAAGCACTCAAATAGATGAATATAGTAGTGTGAGAAGATTCGAACAATCCTGTCAGGTTTACCTTCTCTCCTAAACATATGGGAAGATCATAATAGAAAGAAATACATTCTAAAAACTAATTTTGAATCTTACTCTGCAGTTCTTTGCTTATAGATCAAGGATAAAGTACCAGGGCATATAATCTATCATTGATATTTAATATTGAGAATAACTTAAAACTTCTTTTCAAAAAATTCCCCCTTCCCACTCTTTCAATCACAGGTAATAAGTATCCAAAAAAGTGACCAAACCTGCCAGCTCGTTGATATCCAATTTTATTGTCCCCAAATCATCGAANATGAATGCACTTCATTGTCCTAACCTGTAATGAAACTGGAAGCTGGGCCCATTTTCCTCCGCCTCGAACTGAGTAATCGTCTCCCAGGCGAATTCTATGATCTGATCCTCCAGTTCTCCGTCCTCTTTACAAGCCTGTAGGCGGAGAGCCTCGAAAGTAACAACAGGAACAACATGACCTTCTCTCCGGGCGTCAGAGGAACAGTGCGGGAACACAACTCCTCCGTATCCCTCCATCTGTCTCACAGTGGCAAGATACTCCTTCATCTTCTCTCCGTCCTGGAGAGCCTTCAACTGATGCAACCTGTCCTTAGTGTTAATACAACCTTGGTTCACCTCGGCCACCGCCTGGTAAAACAAAATTTTCAATGCAACAGGATCACTCTCCAGTTCAACTTCTACTCTAGGATGGAACAACCATTTTCTAAAGGACAAGCATGTTGCTGTTGCAGTACTGTAATTTGCTATGTACAGAGAATGCGGAAACTCCGTGGGTTGAACTCGACGCTCAAAGTTATGCTCCACAATCTCAAAGAGGAAGAAGAACTCCCAGTTCTCCGGGAACAGACCGATCTTCTGAGCAACCATCCTGAAAACCTCATCAGCAGTTGAATTCCGCTTTGCCTTGACGGATATAACCTGCTCGTCCAGTATGATTATCTTGATGTCCACTAGGGGAGACGAAGAAATTTCGTCTTCATGCTCAGTCAAGAAGTCCTGCAGGGTTTCACTCTCAGCAATAACTCGAACTGCGCAAACCCGCTCCAAGTAGATTTCTAAACCTCGTCTCCTGGAATCAAGTTGCTGCTCACTCAACGAAAACGGCCATTTCCCCGGGAGTCGGGGGAAATTAAACCCAATAAACTCGTTCTTCAGACAGTTGTGAAGATCCACAAACTCGCGGTATCTGCGAGAACAAAGATGTCTGCCAGCAATGTAAATATTATAAACAACAAATTTTTCTCCAAGATCCTCCAGATGTTTGTAGTCGGGAATAGTTATAGGTAAAGATCGTTTCTCCGAGTAGTCCAAGAAATGAACCGGAATAGTCTCCGGAGGTTCAAGTCTCTCCACGTCTCCGGAGGGAAGTGAAATAACAGTCAGTGTCAGAGAATCCCCTCCGGACTTTATCAGTTCAACAACCTGGATACAAGATCATTTAATTCTTTTAAAATAGACAACTGTTATAATGCAGTATTTAGAATCCATTTCATAATGATGCGGATCCGTATTTCTTCACCAAACATAGAACAATTTCCAAAACTGTCTCCCTCTTTTTAGTAATTTTCATAACGTTTTTATAAATTTTATAAATTAAGTGTTTTGAGAGGACCATAATATTTTTTAAAGTGTTCAGGTTGATATTTTGTCCCATTGATCTGGATCAGTGGAATACATGCTTTTGCGAATCCGGATACAGAAGACTTATATGTTCCGGATTCAACGGTTTAATTAAATGTTAAGAACTTATTCCTAATAAAAGATTTTACCTGTTTGTGAGTTGATCCCTCAACACTAACTCCATTCACCTCTAGAATTCTATCCCCCCGGAATATACCCGCCGTTTCCGCCGCTCCACCAGGTAGAATCGCCGAGATGTGTTGAAGAGGGGCGTAGAGCTCGCCGTTTATAGATTTCAGGTTCCCACCTTCACTCACCTGTCCCCGAACATTGAAACCAAACCCTGATAAATAGAATTCATAAATCTAAAGTAAAAAACTTAAGTTAAAAACATTCAACATTATTAAATTGAACATTCAGCTAAAACATCTGCGTTATCTTCGTACATTTTAATGTTGTTAAATAAGATTGTAAAGTATCGATTCCACTTATGAATTATGCAAAAGAGACAAACGCTAATCATTGGATCGTTGATTGATCACCAATAGTCCCAATGAATATGAAGAATGCAGGTCTATGATTTCCAATCAAGTTAGCGAGCTTGATATAAACGTTGAGTGACTTGAAATTAAAACTGAGCCCTGAAGAGATTTTAAGTGACTCTCTTTTATTGTAGGTATGACCGATTCACAACGTTTCCCTTTAGATCTTTATCTCTACAAAAGTGACATGCACATTGGGTCCGTCGTAGTATACTAGGAAATTACCCGCACACTTCTGCTTCACAACAAAGGGAGGATGTTATCAGAATTAAACACTTTTGAAGCTAGAGAAACGAAGAAATCTTCCACATTGACTACCAAATAAAGGTTTAGGAGCATAGATAAAGATAGATTGCGCATAAGACGACATTTTTCATTTTGAAAGATATTAATGTACAGAGATGTTTTAAAGATATTCCTATTATATAGATTACCTAGGTCGGTTGTAAACATTAATTATTCTTATGTCATTGAGAACTTGTGGTGTACATGAGTTCTGTAGAGAGAAATTTAAGTTAGTTTAGTTCTTCTCATGTCCTTTTTCAGTTCTCGTCAATATGATATATTGCTCAGTGAAATATTGTTGTTCAAATAGTTCCATAAAATTCACTCCTGAGTGTTTTAATAATTATGAAATCCATTATAAAACACCAATCCACCCCGCTTATCATTGAAGTACACTTTGACCCCTAGAAGTATGAGTTCGCGGACTGTACAATTCTTGGTGAATTTGCGTACATAAGCTATCTATGTTTATTTATTTATCTATGTTTAGGAGTACTTTATAAAACGGGGAAATGTCCCTTAGTAAATTTATGGTTTAACGACAGCCCCTTTAAACACTAACGCATTCTAACCGAAGGATATTACCTGTATCAGTTTTAACGACCGTGACAACATGAGGTTCCAGAATACGTTTTCTTTGTCCTCCATACGCCTCCACCTCACACATATTAAACACTGATCTGAAACAGAAGGGTATTGATACAGAAACAGGAATCATTTAGATATTCTAAAAACTTCAAAATTGAAGGGTCCGTCCTGGAATACGATTTTAGACCCCCCCCCCCGCTCCTACACGACCACTTATTTTTTAGCAAATATGTTATTATATTTTTATTATTTAAGGGTGAGGTAAGGTTAAAACAATTTCTGGGCAGAGCGCTGCAGCTAAGACAAGCTGGGGGTCCGAGTGATGCGGCTAGGACAGGCTAGTGGGCCCATTGCTGCGGCTAGGACAAGCTAGGGGCCGGGCGCTGCGGCCACGTAACCAATGATATCCATGTTTTCCATATGAGTTTCATGTACTTGATAGGAGGGGGGGGGGGGGGGGGGTGTGGCTGATAGACTAAGGGGTCGGCCAGGACAGACCTTCAATTTCAACAAAACTAGTAAATATTTAGGGTTAGGTTAGGTTAAGAAACTTTCTTGGCCGAGCGCTGCGGCTAGGACAGGCTAGTGGGCCAAATGCTGCGGCCACAAGACCAACTTTATCCGGCCTTGTGTGTCTTTAAAAACTACCTAAAAATCGATATAATATAAAGTACCAAAGTGATAGGAGGAGGGTCTAAAAATCGTATAACAGGAAATTACCTATATCTTCGTCATGCCAAATATTTGCGAAACTAAGATAAGAATTTCCATACTTAAACATATTTAATATAAATAATTCATCAGCAGCTGATTTTCACCGCCATGGTTGGTAATGCGAAAACTTGAAGAAAATGCCCCGTATCGTATTAAAATTGTGAAAATTTTATCAGCAAGTCTCGCAAGAAATAAGACGACATTTTACAAAATCAATGTTTAAAGCAAATCTTATGGTGGTGTATTTTTCGACCTACTGCACATATCCGCCATACTCTATTTCTGACCTACGCCAAATCCGCTATACTACACATTCGACCTACTAGCACGTGGTATTATTACGGCTGCTATATGGACTTGGCCGCAGCGCCCGGCCCCCTAACATCATAACATGTTCTAGCCGCGGCACTCGGCCCAGAAATTGTCTTAACCTAACCTAACCCTCAAATAATACTAAAATAAACAGCTGGCGTAGGTCATCTTGTTTCATTTTATATCAGATGTGTTGACTTATAACTGAATATCCGGTTGGTTTTTTATTGTTTAAGTATAACACACATTTTTCTTGCCCCCCCCTTAAAATGTTTAGAGGGGGGCCAAAAAATTTTTCGCGCTTCGCGCGAAATATTTCCCCCTAGCCCCCCTCTAACCAAATGTCTAGTTGCGCACCTGGAAAGAATATAAAAAAAATGCTCCATTTTCCTTTTATTCTCAATATTTCTTTTCCCTGTGCTTCGGAGAGAGGGGGGTGAACATCTTTTGGCCCGAACCTATAATTTCTAAAGACCGTTGAAATTTTGTCAGTCTTTTAGCTTACATTGATAGTTTCCAGTAGCCTTAACATGTTTGCTTTAAATTTAAAACATGTAGCACACTTACAAAAAACCATGTTTGTAGACCAAAGACTAAGCCTAAACTATAGATATTCAGAATAAATAAGTTTTGAGTCGTCATTTTAGTTTCTTCCTGAATAGATAAAAACATAAAGGAAGAAACTAAAATGACGACTTTAAAGTTATTTGAAGGATTTATGATATTAAATACGGAAACAAAGAACTTGGTATATATCAAATAGGTTAAAATGTTCCATAACTTGTTAAGTTGTTTGATACCAAAAAAAATTTAAATTATATAGCAGAAATTGTTGTTGTTACGTTGATTTAAAAGTATGACATATTCAAGTGTATGGTTTTTTGACGAAATAAACTGCAAAATGTCTTTAATATCTAGTATACAGTATATGGAAGAAGACATTCCAAACTATTCACCAAAGTCATGTTTCGTGGGACACTCTGTATATAAGTTAAGCAATTTAAGATTTTAGGAACTTAGGTCAAAAAAGAAAGAGCTAGGAACATTATAGATAAAAAAGAAATAAACCAACACAAATGTTGGGTCGGGTGAGTTAGGAACAAAAAAGGAAGAGCTTATACATTAGGAACAACAAAAGAGGAACAACAGAACAATAAAATGAGAATCATAACAGGAACAATGACTATTGAGCCAGCTTGAAACAAGAAAAAAAATTAGGAGTTTCATACATGTATGCAAGAACACGAGAACAATAAATGAAATACACAATCTGAGAAACAATAAAAAGATTGTTAAGGAATTAGGAACAAAAATAGAGGATTTAGGGTCTATAAGGGGCACAGTGTTAGGAATAGGAACAAAAATATGAACATTAAGCATTAAGCAATTGTTACAAGTCAAGAACAAAAATGAAAGAACGAGGAATTAGGAACAAAAATGAAAGAACTAGGAATTAGGAACAAAAATTGAAAAATTAGGAACATAATTCGTAAATCATGAAATAATTATCAACACATAAAGGTACAGAAAAGGAAACATACATAATACATATCCGCAAAGAATGTCATTCGTACTGTACATGAATTAGGAACAATATAGGAAATAGGAACATAAAGCAAGTTAGAACAAAAAGAAATAACTAGGAATTACAATTTTGATGAATTTTTAGAATTTTTTTTGCAGACCCGTAGCTGCCGTATAGCTATCTGACAAAAAAGAAGAAAATGAAAAAATGGAAAGAATTGGAAAAGAAAAATGAAAGAAAGAAGGAAAAATGGGAAGAAAATTGGTAAAAAATCTGTTTTTTGTGTAGAGGATTTTTTTCAAATTTAAGGAAAATTGAGTGATAATTCCCGTACACTGTACAGTAATAATTTCTTATTATACTTCGGCGCCCATTTATTAGTCAACAATTGATTATCAAAATCGTATTAAAATGGTTCTTCCTGAATTAAAGTCTAGAACAAAAAAGTATTTGCTGCAGAATTTATTTGATTTTCATTATAAGATTGTACAAAGGTAAAAAGTATTTCTTGAATGCAACAGTATTTGATCCTGGGACAATCTCCTGAATTGATAAAGATTCCTGGAACAGAAAAGATTGTTTTTTTTTTCGTGACTTATGCAGGATTTTATATTATTACTTTTATTATCTATATTGTTTTTCATGTTATTATTTTTATCATTTGAATACAAAACTAACCGTATTCCAATGATTGCCAAGGTCTGGTAGTAAATAGATTTCTTCCAATTTTTATCCACATAGTTCCCTTGAGCTGCACTAATACTAGCCTAGACAGGGCAGGGCGTCCCATTAAACTTGGTTATAAAAAGGCGACATTGAGATCGTCACTAGATTCTCATGCTTTTTGAGGCACCCTTTAGAAACATACTTTAGCTTTAGAAGATCTTGCAGATCCGAAATTTAGTTTCAACATTAGTATTTTTATCATGATTAGAGAAATTAATGAGTAACTTGTGTAACCTGCATAATTTCTAAATCTGAAGAATGAAAAACTTTTTCCATTTGTCGCACCAAGAATTCTGCTACATCCGTAACTAGACACAAAAATATCTTTTTGTTGTAAAACTTTATTTTTTTGTTTTTTCATGAACTACTTACAATTACATTCTCCTCCATTTTCATCAATAACTTCTCTGACAAGCTGATAAACTTCTTTATACTTCTCCTTCCCACCAGAACCTGGATAGTGGATATACTTCAATTTAGGGGATTTTGATTTTTACACATTTAAAACCTGAGCTTTGCGCTGCGAATTTCATTCAAATACTAGTCTTCCATGCATACATACATTGCACATTATTAAACAACGAAAAACAAGATTTAAAGCTGGATCTAAAATAAGGATTTATTCCTTTTTTATTTTTGGACCAAAAACTCTTTAACTGATGTAGATTTTTTTAAAGAAACTAGCTTACCAAGGTTGAGAAGAGTTGCCAACTTTTCACTAAAACTTGCCAAAATTAGCTGAGCAGGGTTGCCAAATCAAGGTTTTGATAAAACTTAGCAAGGTTAGTTGACTAGGTAGAGCAGAGTCACCAACTCCCAGTTCTTCATAAAACTTACCAAGGTTAGCTGAGCGGGTTGAAAAGGATTGCCAACTCCAGTTCTCTTAAAACTTACCGAGGTGTTAATCAGGGTCCAACTAGATTTCTCATAAAAACTTACTGAGGTTAACTGAGCAGGTGGAACAGGGTTGCCAACTCCAGTTCTCAATATTTACATGCACTTCACCCTTGCAGGTTTCTTCCTGTGCAAATGTTACAAATGAAAAATCTATCAAAAATGTATCTCTTAGTTGGTTTGCATTTTACAATTACTTACAAATTAACGTGGTGTGAGAGATTTATATCATTTATTAGAAAATGAGTTTTACCTGGCAAAGTGCAGCGTGCTTTTCACCCTCTGAATTTTGATCAAGACATCTAAAAGTGGAGAAAAAAATGTAAAATTTTTTTTATTTTATTAAAAAATCGTTCTTACTTTGAGCATCCACAGGGAAAGTACCAGGTACGAGATAACTAAATAAAACAAAAAAGGTTTTTAACGAAAAAAAATTGTTGGAAAAAGTATAGAAATTTTTAAAAATATAGGTCTATGGGCGTTTTTGGACACGGTAAAATTTTACAAACATATATATATATATATATATATATACATACATATATACATAAATATAATGAAAACGACTTTTCTATTTAAGATTTGAATGTTAGCAAGCTTTTATCGAATTACAAGTTAACAAATAATCAATGAGAAGCTTTTCTAATTGACAGCTTCTCTTGACTTCTATGTTTAACCCAAAATTACAATTTAAATTAAGCAAAGTGTATTCATGCTGCTCAAGAGCTTGATTTGAATTAAAATTGAAACCGAAAGTCGTCTTCATTGTATTGATATAATCGCCTACCACTGTATTTAAAAAATATTAATATTACATATCACACTTTAGGACAAGAGATATCTCAATTGCGTTAGGTCAGGAACATGAAAACCTCTGTTGATAAATATTCAAGAATTTTTGGAGAGTAGAAATGGATTTTCTTTTCAACTCTTTTCATAGGCTTGTATTAATAAAAATAGACCTTTTTGGTGTTTGATTATTTTTTTACAAAACTCACAGAATAATAATTTCAAATAAGAATTATTAATTCACCTTTGCCAGTCTATTGAGCCGTGGATCTGCATCATCCAAATATGTTATAAAAAAACTATTCAGATTCATTCTAGGGGAGGAAACCATGGATTTTATCTCTAAAACTCCTCCTAAAAAGGTCACATTTGAATTTTTTGTTGAATTTTTGGCATTTTGTATTTGGATTTGTGTACTGTATTTATATTTGATTTTTTGAATTTTGTATTTGGTATTAGGTGTTTTTTTGGTATGTTGTATCTAGTATTTTTAATTAATATATTTTGTATAATTATGCCTTATTGAAGTTGGAATCTTTTTAAATTCGTAACTCTATTTAAAATATATAATTGTGAACCATACCCCTCAAATTTACCCTGTTGTAAAGGTCGTCTCCGACAAACTGTACCTCCGTTGAATCCTCCGTCCACCCACCAAACCAAACATTGCCAAGGATTTTGCATAAACATAAACAATAACCTCATGGAGCTAATAAAACTTTAAGTGCATTAAAAGAACCCATTTAAACATAATTTTCAGTGAATCATTTGCAATCAAACAGTGAACTTATTTAACCAGACGAATATTTATTTTCAGAAGAATTAAATTGCTTTAGACTTCAGTTCAAACAACTTTTCGGCCTAACACAGTTTTCTAGATTGTAAGTTCCATTCACAACAGTACCTTTTAAACCTTTTTATTAATCAGTTCACAACAGTGCCTTTAAACCCTTTATTTATCGATTTACAACAGCAAAAAATATGATCCCCAAATCCTGCTAAACCTACTAAACCTAAAATCTCCAATCCTGCTAAACCTACAAAACCTAGGATTCCAATACTCATTTATTGATAAAAACCTTTAACTGTTTAATCTTTATTAACAATTATTATTTATATGCATGTACGCCAATAACAATTTGTATTTTGTAGGAAACCTCGTTACTGAAATATACTTTTCAAGAAGTTGTTCTCATCTATGTGTGTCTGGTAGAAAAGAGTGTTTTCCTTGCCAACTCGCCTTATTTCCCTCTTTCGAGTATTATTCCTTTTGTTCAGCTCACAATAATGTGCATTTCTAGCGTTTCGATCATAATTGGGTTCACACATTTTCAGTATTTTACAATCTTAGTAAAAAATTCACATGAAAATTAATTGGTGTGTGTCCTTTAAATTTGGTTTCAATAATGCGGAAAAACTAGAATTTGAACCTGGGTTAAACACTGTTGTTGCAGTCGGAGAACAAGAATGATCGAAGATTGAAGCTGCTCTGTATAACACTAAAATTAATTTATCAAATAAGAATTGCGAAAAGAGAATTTTAAAGTTGTCAATAGCCGTATTTCACTCAACAGTTTGGACCTCTGAATATTCATGTGTGCTTTATTGCACCACGGTTTTATTGCCTTTTTAATTGTACAACATTATTTGCATCATAATCTTCTACTAAAAAGTTACGAAATTAAGAAAAAAAAAGTTTGATCATTGACAACAATTATTTTCTTAAAATTACCTGTTCCAACACTCTCCTCTTCTCCATTATTATCTACCCGGAGAGAAAATGAGTTGACCGCTAACCGACCGTAGATTCTCAAATACTCCTAGATTCTCCATGTTTGGAAAAAACATTGATCACCAGAAAATTCTGAAATTGGAAGACGACTTTTAAAGTCAATTTTTAACTTTTAAAAGTCCAACAAGCACGAGAAACAGCAATTGTGCAGTGTAAACAGACCCTTCTCACTAAATATGGGATTTTATAAGTGTCTGGTATACTTATAACTGCTTTGTAACAACATCAAATACATTAAAGTATTGCTATAATGTCGTCTTCCTGTTCAATTGTTTTCTGGTGTTCACTGTATCATAGAAAGAAACTCATTTCTCGCATAAAACTTAAATTTTTAAAATCCCTTTATCTTTGCAACATAATTCTATAAACCTTTGCAACCTGATTGTGTAAACCATTGAAAATTCAAACTTTGACTATTTCAATCGAGAAGAATGCTTACATTGAATTATCAAAGGTTGGAAGGATTAGAACTAATCGGTTTCTTTATAAAATCAAACGTTTTCATGTAATTTTAAAAAACCAAAAGTTTTCATACAATTTAAAGAAAGATTTTATGGATGAATTCTTTCCTCTTTCTCCGGCATTAATGATCCAAGAAGAGTCGAAACTTCCTAAAAATATGAAATTTTTAATATGTTTTTAGAAAATAATATTTTTGTATCACCTTATACCAGCATTCGCCTAAACTAGGGTCATTTGTGATGTCATCATAATCTAAAGAAATTTAAGGTTAAAAATATTGTAAATACTCTAAAATAAAAAAATAAAACTTACGATCCATCAGATCATGGAAGGTTCTAGATCTCTTATTGTTAATCTTCTCTTTTTCAAGATATCCTTCACTCTGCACTTTCAGAACAGCTCTTGATACAAACCAAGCCCTGGTCAAAATAAAAGAGTAAAATATGGAGTATATTGTCAAAATAGAAGAGTAAAAGAGGGAGAATTCTCAAAATAGAAGAGTAAAAGAGGGAGTATTTTTAAATAAAAGAGTAAAATAGGGAGTATTCTCAAAATAAAAGAGTAAAATATGTAGTATTCTTAAATAAAAGAGTAAAAAGGGAGTATTCTTAAATAAAAGAGTAAAATAGGGAGTATTTTCAAAATAAAAGAGTAAAAGAGGGAGTATTCTCAAAAAAAGAGTAAAATATGGAGTATTCTTAAATAAAAGAGTAAAATAGGGAGTATTCTCAAAAAATAAAGAGGAAAAGGAGGAGACATCATTATGATCAGTAATGTTTCATATCTATATATCTAATGATGTCAGTAGAAACTTTAGAAAACATCGGATAGAAATAAAAAAGAAGTAAAATTCGTTTATTAGATTAAGTTTATCCGATATATTTTTCGTGAACCCTCCCATAAAATAATGAAGTTAAACCTATGAGGCCATGTTCCTCTTCCTCTCAATACACAGAGTTCACACTCAACTCTAAACATATTAATAAATATTAGGCTCCAATTACGATGCACGGGCAGCCGTAGTACATTTGAAGTTCCGAGCCGGGTCAACCTTTCCGGTTCCAGCTTGTACTGTACCTAGCTCTATGGACAGGAATAGCCGGTGTAACAAGGTTGACGCGGTCAGACTTTATGCTTCATATAGGTTGAATTTACTTTTACTAAAGGGGCAGATTTGCGTGGATGGATTCTATAATTATCATGAAACACAGAAAATGTGCAATGTGCAATGTACATACACACTACACACTACACAGTACACAAAAACAAGATCAAATAAACATAAAATTGCTTTTAATGTCATTTTCCCATTCCACAGCTTCGTATTATGTATTATATGGATTATGATAAGACTATAGAACCAGCCAAAAGATATCCAGATGTTTATCAAATAAAAAAAATTGTACATGTACATTGTACATGCGTAGCTTCTTAAAAGGAAACAAATATGCATTGCTCATTGCTAAGAACATGTAAAGCTGTGTCCTTGAAGATGTTCTACTCTACAGTATTCACTACAGTACATATACCTATGTACTTCAAGATGTTGTACTCTACATGTTTCACTACAGTACATGTACCTGTGTTGTTCAAGATGGTGTACTCTACAGTATTCACAACAGTACATATACCTTTTTTACTTTATGAAGTTGTACTCTGCAGGGTTCACTACAGTTCATGTACCTTTGTTGTTCAAGGTGTTGCACTCTACATGTTTCACTACAGTACATGTATAACCTGTGTTGTTCAAGATTTGTCCTCAGCAGGTTTCACTACAGTACATGTACCTGTGTTGTTCATGATGGTGTACTCTACAGTATTCACAACAGTACATATACCTTTTTTACTTTATGAAGTTGTACTCTGCAGGGTTCACTACAGTTCATGTACATTTGTTGTTCAAGGTGTTGCACTCTACATGTTTCACTACAGTACATGTGTAACCTGTGTTGTTCAAGATTTGTCCTCAGCAGGTTTCACTACAGTACATGTACCTGTGTTGTTCAAGATGTTTTACTCTGCAGGTTTCACTACAGTACATGTACCTGTGTTGGTCAAGATGTTGTACTCTGCAGGTTTCACTACAGTACCCAACCATTCTACACTTAGTACACAGTTCGATTCCTTTCCACTCATCATGACTAAATATGATTAATTTCAAAAGTACTTAATTACTTATTACGAGAATAATGCAGCAAAGTCGTCTTTTTCTTTGTAATATGATGCATCACTGAAGATTTTGCAATCTTTGATTGTTATGAATCCTAATTTATCTTAAGATTATAGCAGTTTGAATTACAAAATCATTTAGGACATTTACATTTAAATTACTTTGAAAGGAAAGTGTCAATGTCGTCTTGAAAATAGGGATTGTAAAAAGCACTATGTTTTTCAGTTAAATTTTGTTCAGATTTTTAAGAAGATTTACATAGATTGGGAGAAAAGATTAAGAAATGACGCTGCTAATTCTGAAGCAGCTGAACAAGGAACAAACAATATAAACATTCTTATTAATTTCAAATCAAATTATTAGAATGTTAAAAATATTTAATATTTCTCCAAGCTAACACTTACAAGGAAAGACAGTATTCGCAAACTTTTTCCTTGAATTGTGGTTGGATTGCAAATACAAAGGGTTTACTTCGGACCAACACATCTCCTGATATATCATAAATACAATCTCTGATATCGAGGAGAAGAAGAAGAAGAAGAAGAAGAAGAAAAAGAAGGAGAAGAAGAAGAAGAAGAAGAAGAAGAAGAAGAAGAAGAAACAGACCCATTTCACTTAATGAACATGAGGCAGAGCAATTGTACAGTGTAAACAGACCCATTTCACTTAATGAACATGAGGCAGAGCAATTGTGCAGTGTAAACAGACCCATTTCACATAAGAAGTGATTTAATAACTTACTTATAAAGCTATTTGCTCTGTAACAGCATAAAATGCACTTCAATATTGCTTTAATGTCGTCCTCCTATTCCACAGTTTTGTGGTTATCACTGTATAAAAGATATTGAGATTAGAAAATCAGAGTTTGTGGCAAAGACTCATTTTCTTTTTTTTTTTACCAAACTGACTTTTCCTCAAATGTCAATTAAATTAGGTTAAAATAGACACTGTCACTTTGGAAACTAATAGAGGTCATAATTTCTTTAGTCTTTTTTTGTGTTGCGAACACAACATTAGAATTTCTTTTAATTTATAAATATGACTGAATAAAATTTAAATATATTTCATTGGCCACTGATATTTAACTCTGAGTTGAGTCTGTAAACTGATGTGTAAGATGCTTTCAAGTTTTCAGATTAGGGAAAGTTTTGAGAAAGTTTTCTGTTGTAGCGAGATTATACTTTCTATATCAGGAGTAAAGGGTTCAGCATAAATAATAAATTGATAAACTTATTCAAAATTGTTTTTATAAATTCTAATTTAATTTTGATAAATTTTTAGGTTTGAAATATTTGTTTATGAAATAAATTGTGAGGATTGTTTTGACTAAGACAAGTGATTTCTACTTAATAATATCCTTATTTGCACTTCAACAACAAACATAAATGGTCTTTTTTTGGATTTTCTCTAGTCGGAAATTGTATGATTATTACGAGTTAAATGCGAGCGAAATTAATATAAAAAGTAATATGTATATTTCCGATTTAAAAAAACAAACATAATCATGAGTGCAGGACGCTCTGTGCCCCTTTATTGTTAAAATATCGACTGTTTGATTTTTCTTCTGTTATAAATACAACTTCACTACTTTCTCAGATCTTCTATAACAGTGATAACCAGAAAACTCTGAAATAGGAATTGATTTTTAAACTCAAGTTATGACTTAAACCGGCCAATGAAAATGAGGCACAGCAATTGTGCAGTGTAAACAGACCCATATCAGTAAACAAGTGATTTAAAAACTTTCTAGTAAAGGTATTTGATTTGAAACAACATCAAATTCACTTTAGTATTGCTTTAATGTCGTCTTTCTATTCTACAGTTTTCTGGTTATCACTGTAGTATTTATCTTTAAACTATACGGATGATAAAAAGATTTCAAACGAAAATCAGACTTATCATCAATTCAGCCTTTTTTTAGACAAAAACAAACAAACAGACATACAAAACAGACATACGAAATAGACATGCGAAACAAATACACTTATAAATATTTTGAAAAGAATCAGAGTGAGAATCTATCGAAAATTTTCAAAATATGAAGAAATGAAAAATGGGGGGAAATATCTTTTCTATTTGATATTTTTCCATTGAACTGAGGAGAAAGGAAGGTTTAATAGGATCTATGTAGCGAGATGATGCTGTAACTAGACGATATTAGCAACCATCATCACTCCCTACTCTGCTTCCGGCCTTACTTCCGGTCTAGCTTACTTCCGCTGTCATAACTTCCGATATACATATTTAATATCAATGTTGGGAGGAAAGCATACATCACTTGAAGGGGATCCTAGAGCTAACATATATATCTATAATCTATTACATTTGTTCACAAGAATCCATTAAATAATAAAAAAGAAAAATAATGTTAGGTTTCTGACATTAATGTTTTAAAATGTAATTATATCCATAACTCATAACAAACTAAGAAATAATTAAATTTCATTTGTCGATCTGTTTATTTGAAGCTCAGAGTTTTAAGAAAATACATTTGGATAGATGAATTCTGTGGGATCCATTGAAATACTCAAGATTGATTTTGAATAATGAAATGTACCTTAAACTCAACATATTACGTACTCAAGTAAACACTGTACACTGTACAGTACATAGACATCAAATACACAACAGATTGCTTAGTTTTAGTCTTCACATTCCATAGGTTTATGGGTTCTATTGTATATATCAAACGAAGAAAAAATGTACCAAGCTGGAAAATAAAATTTTGATTTAAGATTTGATTTGAAAACTTATTAAAGATCCAATCGTCTTGACTCTTGATTTTCTTTGAGAAAAACAGCAGAATATACTATTATATTGTATCTATCCATATGTGACTGAGGATAGGAAATTAAAGAAATCCTCCAAAGTATTTCTATTTCCGGAATAAAGGGGGTCACCTACCAGATCTAGGATTACTTCCGGAGATGGGTTGCTCAAGTGGATGGAGGAAGAAGAAGATGAAGAGATATGAAAAGGAGAGGGGGAGGGGGGGGTAAAAATATAATTGAAAAATAATGATTTTGAAACATGGAGAAAGAGAAAATGGAAATTGGGAGCGTAAATATCGACTGCTAATTTTTATAGCTTATTTTCAAAACTGAAAGTTCTTAATCTTGATGATACATACAAACTAGTGTTCTGGCATTTATGCATGGATACTTTAATGATAACCTTCCCTCTTCCTTCCAAAATATGTTTAAGTCTCTAGCTGAACCAAATAGAACAAAGTCATATAAATTAGAACGAGTTTTAAACAAAAATATAGAAAGCTTTCCGTCCGCAATGTTTCCAAAATTGTGGAATGCAATTAAAATTGACCTTAAAGAAACTAAATCTGCAAAAATATTTAAACAAAGAGTAATCAATATTTATCTTGAGAATTATGAGAGGTTTAAATGCGAAAAACCTAGCTGTATATCGTGTGAATAATTTTTATATAAAACAACTAAAATAACTGACACTTTATTAGCTTATTTAAATGTGTTTGTGTATCCACCCTCATTAACACTTTAATTTATCTCTACATTAATCCTTCTGATCTCACCTTACAATCTCCTTCCTTTCGATCAACTCCTGACTACATTCAAAAACATAATTTGATGTGTGTAACCAATTACATTCAGTATCTTTAACTAACTTAGGGCCAACCACTCAAAACAACCTACTCTGGTTAGGCGGGTCCAAACTGCAAAGTAAATTGTGATTGCTTATTTTTAATATCTCATGCTTTGTAGTTGACTAAAACTATGAAAAAATGAAAGGAATAAAATGCGGTGTTATTCAGTTGCTGCCTATTATAAGTAATTTAAGTTTTTTGAAATATTATTTTTGTAAATTATTTATACTTTATATTTTACTATTTTAAAACATTTAAATGAATAAAAAATATTCAAAAATATCACTATATTTTTTTTTAGAATAGGCGAAAACATTATTTGATAAACTAAATTAATTCGCGATGGAAATTTTCTTAAATTGATGGTAACCTAAAGAATGTTCGATTTTATCTTGTTAAGACTGTCTGATATATACTAGTCTATAGTTGATATATTGTTATTAGTAGTTCCTGTATACTACATAGAGTAGATACACAATCTTATATTCTCAAATCCATCTGAAGACTGAATGTACAGGGTTACCCACAAACCATTAGACGTGAAAGATTTTTATGCAAAATCAAATCACTTCTTTTTTCTTTCCCATAAATCCATAAAAAGGAATTGAGTTTTTGCATCAAACTTACATTTTCTAACCCCAATATCTTTGCAACCTGATGGTGTAAACCTTTGATATTTTAAACTCAGATTATTTGATCTAACAAAATTTATAGTTTGAAATATCTAAGGTCTACAACATTTGGTTCCAAAGATATAGTGATTATAAAATCAGAGTTTGTGGCAAAAACTCAATTCCTTGGCATTAGTTTTAAGGACTGAGTCGACATGAAATTGTCGCAATGCCTTGGCCTTTGATTTGATCTCATCAACTCACTTATAGTTTTTGATTAAACCACACGTTTATTGCTTTGGTTGTTCAGAAGCTATTGGCAAAATTCTTATCGATTATTGCTTGAGAGCTTGCAACCTTTGGATCAACGTGAGCTTAAAAGTAACAAAATTCCTTAGATTTTTATCGATAAACTATTTATTAATCCATATTTGCAAAGGCTATTATAAATATTATCTTTGAATAAGAAGGAAGGAAAGAGATGAAAAATAAAGAAAAAGATTAGAAAAGGATTTTTAGAAAACTTTACGATGCAGTTGTGTCCTTGATGGAATTCCTTAAATATAGTTTTCAACACTCATTGACGTTTAACATCCCTGATTTACGATTCTTGGTTCAAGTTAAATCAGAGTATTACCACGCCTGTATCTCCGACCGGAGACAAAAATACCGCTCTCAGAGACATATGCCGACCCTCCCCCCCCTCACATATGCCGACACCCCCTCCAATATACCTCAATAACCTACTCCCCTTCAACGGAAGAAAGTGTTTGGGTTATGACCTCAATTCGTGTGTCAAATTTGTTTAAGCGTGATTAGTATTAACACATGGACTCAGGGACGTTTGCCAACAGATGTGATTGGAGGGATGGCAAAAGGGTGAAGGGAGTTTAGAGTTAAAGGAGAATGTAGGGTTCGGAGAAGGATGAAGGAAGTTTAAGGTTAGAGGAGAATGTCGGGTCTGGTGAAAGGTGAAGAGAGTTTAGATTTAGAGCAGAATGGAAGGTTCGGATAAAGGTTACGGGAGTTTAGAGTTGGAGGAGAATGTAGGGTTCGGAGAAGGATGAAGAGAGTTTAGAGGAAAATGTAGGAATCGAAGAAGGATGAAGAGAGTTCTGAGGAAAATGTACAGATCGAAGAAGGATGAAAAGATTTTATAGGAGATGGTAGGGTTCAGAGAAGGGTAAAAATATTTTAGAGGAAAATGTTGGGTTCGGAGAGGAGAATATAGGGATTAGAGAAAGGTAAATGGAGTT